ATTATCATATCCTTTACTATCATTTAATATGTATTTATTATTATTTTTTAATTAATTCATCTAGTTATATTCTTGATACATCACTTTGTATTAGAGTTATTTTTTTTAATATATATATTTCCCACCATTATAATCACTATGTTTATCTATTTTACATTTCGTTGTTCTTACTAATTATCATGATTTAATCTTACGGCAGTGGGTAATTGAATTCTCAATTATGATGAGTAATTTGAAACTTCAATTTTGAAACAGAAAGAAAATGTGCTCAGTCAAACAGAATGCTTATGTCTTGGTGAGTAATTTTAGCAGGGCTGAGACTTTAATGTGTCAATCTTCATCATTTTGAGTACATGCAAACTCAGACAAATGCAGGGAAAATGAAGATTCATAACAAGAGGAATTGCGAATGGGGTCAATGCATCCTATCTCGTGTGTGTACTGAAACTCGACTGCTTGACATAGAGCTTGCAGTATCTTTTGCTTTCTGTCATAAATCTATGTCCCTCGTCTCAATGTGCTTATAGTATAGCATGTACCGAGTGCAAGGAAAATAGTCGAGCAACGACCATTAATGTCCGTAACACAAACAAGTTCAATATGTACCTAGTGGTGAAGCATGTATATTGAGAACCTCAGGATTATGTATATTGAGAAATGGTCTTGTCGTTCCTTTTATACATTAGAGATCGACATAACATTCAAGTTACAAGCAAAGGATCTAATTTTAATATTGATTTAAGGTACAAATTTTAAGAACAGAGAAGAAGAAACAGGGGAGTCAACAAAAAGAAAATCAGAAGATTTTCTAGAAGATATCTACTAAATTGACAGTCGGATAGCCACACTATACAAGGTTTAATGAATTTTATACAAAATCTCAAATATTATCTAAAGATTACACGGAATGGATAAGATTTGCATAAAGAAAAGAAGATGGCATTAAAGCAATATTGAAAATATTTTTTAAATTAATTTGCACCAAGGGAAGTTTGTTTAAAGAAAAGAATATAGCATTAAAGCTAGGACAAAAGAAAACAACATACCTTTACTAGCATCAAATCAAAGCAACAACAATGATTCTTTGCGTCATATAAATATTAAGTGAAAGGAATAAATTTTTTTACTATTTCTAAATTAATAACCATTTTAGATTGTTTGAAGATATCAATATATCCTTTGTCATTGGTATAATACACTATAGTATGATATACCGATTTATTTACAAATGGTGGGTCTTATTTTAATATGGATTGAAGCCGAAAATTTCATTTTCATTGTAGTCATACATTATTATTCCACATAATCATTCACTTTATAATAACAGAGAGAAAACAGGGGGAATTTAATAAACTAAAATGATACTAACCCTCTATATGAACTGATGTTATTATATATAATTATGTGCTGCCTAGGCCGTTCGAATATGTCATTTACCCTTGAGGCGGTTAATATTCTGAGAAAAGCTAATGTTCTCTTTGCTCCTGCCATGGCTGATGATGCTGGAAGGGTTTGTTCTTTACTTCTACAAGGCATATGAATCTTTATGTGCCTTTTTGAGTACCTATGCTACCATGGAATCGACTGCCTCTTCAAATTCTTTAATTTTGCAGTGATTTGTGACATGATGGGGTTCTTTTGGACATGCTTAGTTGTCACCAAATAGAGGCTCTGCACCACAGTTTCATTGATTGTCAGGATGCCATGCTCAAGAACACATTTTTGTTTTAGAATGCGGCTAACTATAGATGTGAATGAAAGTAGATACATTCCAAAACCATTAATTAGTAAGGCTAACTGTGGATAAATCTATGCAGAATTATTCCAAACTATTAGTAAATGCTCTGAATTATTGTGTACCTATTACGTAGCCATATAAGAATAGGCCTCACATGTTTTTGAGTTGAAGGTGGGGCATACGAGCAATGGCTGCTTGACTGTTTTACATTCGTCCATTTCAATTTTTGTTTTGATCAAATTCTTTCGCTGGTTTTTTCTTATATGTATTTATTTTTTAAACTGTTGACCAACTTGGCTGCAGGTTGTTGCTGGTGAACTCGAATTAAATTATGAGTGCAATCATGACTTATGTATTTGGCTACAGGTTGTTACAGACGATTATGTATTTAATTTCAATCCTTGTTGACTTATAACTTCAAAAATGCAAATAGATTAAAGCATATGCAGAAAGTACCAACCTGGTTTCTTAATGTTTTGGGCCTTTTAATCACATTGATGAAATATTAGATCAAATTTTTCTGAGTGAAACCTAGAGAATTCACTATAGTGAAAGTGACTATAGAACTAAACTGCTACTTGATGACCACCCCTCTGCTAGTCCTGTGAAAGTTGACTTATAGAACTGTTAGAATGACTTAAAATATAGAAGTTTCAAAGTGGCTCTTGACATAAAGTTGATAAGGAAATAGTGCATATAGTTAAGCTCCTTTAGGATCTTTCATATCGTGCTGTAGTATTAACCATAATTAAGTTCCTAAGTCTAAACAGACATCATTATATTTGATGCGGACTCTTTTCATATTCTTACAGGAAGCAATGAAACAGACATACTAGAGAGCCCTCAAAGCAGCAACTGATTTTGGCTATCAGAAAGAGAGTCCAGAGTGAGTGCTGAGGCAAAGATTTACTCTGCTATGGCGTTCTTTAACTATAATGTTTTCTGTGAACTAAACCCCAAAAGTCCTTCAAGCTTACACTGAGCAGATATTATATTGTATCATCGCGACAATATGTGGTTCTTTGAGATGTCTGGCATTCTTATTTTCCTCTCTTGTTTGCCAGGGCTTTGGTACATGGAGCAGTCATCTCAGCTTTTCTGACTATCGCACAAGCTATGACCGACCAAGGGTGCGTATAGAACACAAGAACGATGTACAGTTCTTTGTATGCTCCCCTGATTCGATTTCTATTAATCAACATCTATCACCAAGCTTGGACATTTGCACGCGGCGGCAGGAAAGTCCTATGATCAAGATACTTTGTAACATATATGTAATGTAATTGTTTCTTCCAAAAAAATGTGGAGATTTGATCATCATACACATGATTTATTTAAAACAATGTCTAGTTAGTAGTAGGATAGGAAGTGTCTTTAGATTTGTTTCCAGAAATATTTTTGTTTGTTAGTCTGTAAGAGCTCTCTCTCAATTTTTTATTGCAACACTGTAGAATACCTGTTTACTGACATTGGCAATAAAATTCAACTATCCATTGTATGGCTGTCTTAGGGAAATTGAAGATTGTTCATTATTTATAACCAATAATTGATAGAAATATGGCGTAATTATTCTCCTTCAGCTTGACAGATTGTGAAATTTACCGGTGGATGACATATCTGACTTTTCATCACTAATTATTCAACTCTAAACATAATAAACAGCAAATTCTAAGGTAGAAAGTAATATTATTCCAATTCATACTATTAGTACCTTCAACTAAGAAATATGTCAAATGACAATTTTCCCCTTGTTATGCAACCTTAAGACATCTCATAAAGCAATCTTCACCTTCAAAAATGCACTAATGCCAACATGCGAAGGGAAGGGATTTGCAGCACTGAGGAATCTCTCCTTAATAAATTATCTCCTCCTTATATGAAAACTCAAACTGAAAAACTAGTAAATGGTAACCAGAAACATTTGTTAGAAGCATTGAAAATACATTATTGAATGAAAAGGAAATAGAGGAACAAAGGAAGTCTTAAAATGAATATACAAAAACTAGTTTCTGGTGCTTCAAACATAATATCAGTCACCAAATCTTGGAATTGCATTAGTTAATCAAATATAGAGAAAACATAATATTCAATTTTCATTGAACAAAATCAAGAAAGACTTGTTGATTTCTTACTGCAAGTGCAATGCACATCTGTCACAGCTAATTGATAAGATCTTATTCTGACTTATATCCAATAAAATACTGATCAGCATATAAATAAACAACTAAAAAAGGAAAAACATGAAAATCTGATCTTATCAAGAACAAAAATTACATGCAAAACTGTAGGTACAAGGGATTAATCAATCATTCAACCCATTTAGTTATTAAAATGCGAAATGAGAATGACATCACTTTAAAATATGAGGGCAAAGCACAAAGATTATTTTTTTACTAAAAGACCTTGGATAATTCTTCACCTCTGCTTGATTGTTCTTCATTATATAGACCCTTCTTACATGTTTTATCTTTTCCAAACAGAAAAAAAATTAAGCAATTCTACTAAAATTAAAGCAGGTTCTTAAATGATGAGTAAACAAATCATGTTGAACAATTTTGTTCTGTGTTTCTGTTGAGAGATTCAAATAAAGGGAAGAAACATTTTTCCTTTCGCAATTACTAGATAAATGTTAGGGAGAAGATTTAGGAGCAAAATGATCTTATCAAGACCCTTGTTTAAGAAGAAAAGAATATAGCATTTTAGATTGTTAGAAAGCAACAACATACCTTTACTGGCATCGAAGCAACAATAAGGATTCTTTGCGTCCTATAAATAAATTTTTTTACAATTTCTAAATTAATAAAGCACTACGAATTGTTTTATGATGGATTTCCTTCTGGATTTTTAGAAGCTAAACAAAGTAACAGTCTATGATACATTATTATTCCACATAATCATTCACTTTATAATAATAGAGAGAGAACAGGGGGATTTTAATAAACTAAAATGATACTGACATTCTATAATTTAACTAGAATGAAAGCAAAGAATGTATTAAAAGAAAAGAATAAATGCGGCATTGCTTTTAGAAAGCTAACATTGTTGGATACGAAGAAAGAAATGAATATGAGAATCGCTTTTGTTTAGAGAAAAGTTTGGTACCTTAACCAGCATCAAAGCAACATGTTGATTAGAGTCATCTGCTGAAAGATTCTGTGGTCTGGTTTTGGTCTATAAATAACAAATGGAACGGTAGAATTTTCACAACACAATTAAACACACCTAGTATTTCAATATCTTAAATCAATTACCATCTTTGACTATGGCTGAAGCGCTTGTCTCCACAATCCTGGGTCAATTGGCTTCACTAGCCGCTGAAGAGATGAAACTTCTTGCTTGTGCTGATAAAGCTGTGGGAAAGCTCACCAGCAATTTCCAGGCCATTCAAGCTGTGCTTGAAGATGCGGAGAGCAGACAAATAAAGGAGAAGAGTGTGGGAGACTGGTTCGAGAAGCTCAAAGACGTTTCATATGACATCGAGGATGCATTGGATGAGTGGATCACGGTGAGCAAAAAATCACAAATGAAGGAAGCTGAAAATGCTTCCAAGCTTTGGAAAAAGGTATGTTCCTGCATCTCGTCTGATTGCTTTTGTTGCAAGAAAGTTTTCCTACGTCATGAAATTGCTACCAAGATAAAAGATCTAAATGAAAGACTTGATGTTATTGCCATGGAAAGGATTGCTTTCAATTTTAGCTTGAGTAGGGGCACTGGACAACCAGTGCACGAAATAACTACCTCTCTTATTAATTTACCAGAGATCTATGGAAGAGATCATGATAGAGATAGATTAAAAGACTACTTGTTAGCTGAGAGTAGTCAAGAATCAACCGTCTCTACCATTTCTATAGTAGGGATGGGAGGGATTGGAAAAACAACTTTAGCTCAATTAGTTTTTAATAATGATGAGGTCAACACCCATTTTCACAAGAAAATTTGGGTGTGTGTCTCTGATCCTTTCGATGAGATTAGGATTGCCAAAGCAATTCTTGAATCTCTTTTAGGTGAAAAAAAAGATAAAGATGAACTAGAAAATGTGTTACAAGACTTACGTCAGTCTATTAAGGACAAGAAAATTCTTCTTGTTTTAGATGATGTGTGGATTGACAATTCTACAAAATGGGAAAAAGTGAAGAATGCTCTTCATTTTGCTTCTCAAGGGAGTAGAATTTTGGTAACCACACGTAAAGAGAGTACTGCAATAATAATGGGAAGCACCAAAACTATCCAAATAGGAAGATTAGGTGATGACGAATCTTGGTCATTATTTAGTCAAGTTGCATTTTTTGGAAAAACAAAGAAAGAGGTTGAAAATTTAAAAGAGATCGGTGGAAAGATTGTAGAAAAGTGCGATGGCTTGCCTCTTGCTATAAAAACTTTAGGAAGTCTCTTGAGACTAAAAACACAGGCTAAACAATGGCAAAGTGTCATAGATAGTGATTTATGGAAACTAGAAGAGATAGAAAAAGAGCTCTTCCCCCCAATCCTCTTGAGCTATTATGATTTGTCTTCTAAACTTAGAAAATGCTTCACATATTGTGCCGTATTTCCAAAGGACTATGTGATAGGAAAAGATATATTGATCAGGTTATGGATGGCTCAAGGTTTTCTTAATGTAGAAGGAAACAAAGAAATGGAATTAGTTGGTGAAGAATATTTTGAAAACTTAGTAATGCGTTCTTTGTTTCAAGATTTTGAAAGGAGTGAATATGATGGTAGTATTGTAAGATGCAAGATGCATGATATCGTGCATGACTTTGTTCAATTTGTTTCAAAGAATGAATGTTTTGCAAGAGAAGTTGAGAGTGATGCAATTCCTCAATTAAAGATTTCTTCTGAAAGTGTTCGACACTTATACATAAGAAGTAGTGATTCTCTTAGAGTTCCTGCCTCTATTCTTAAGCTAAAAAAACTGCGTAGCTTTGTAGTTGAGAATGTAGGCCCTAAAGAAGAAGGCATATCCGGACATTTTGAGCAATTTACATGTCTAAGGACATTAAATTTGAGTCACTATGATTATAAAATTCCAAAAGGAATAAAATATTTAGAGCATTTGAGGTACCTTAAGTTGAATTGGAATGATGATATAGAAACATTGCCTGAGGTATTGTGTGATTTATATAATCTACAAACCTTGGATGTCACTAATTGTAAAAAAATTAGAAAGCTACCCCAAGGGATAGGAAAGTTAGTTAATTTGAGGCATCTATTAATTGGTGGGACAGGGAGATTAAGGTACATTCCAAAAGGAGTAGAGAGATTGAGTTGTCTAAAGACATTAAATAAATTCGTTATTAATGGTGATTATGATTATGGTAACAAAGCATGCAATAGTCTTGATTCTTTGAAAAACCTAAGACTGGGCCCATCTTTAGAGTTAGAGTTGGTAAATGTGAGGGATAGTAATGCACTTAAACTTGCAGATTTTCAGAGTACCAAAAATCTCCTTCATTTGACTTTATCATTTTATGTTCAGTGTGATGAGAGAAGCAGAAATAAGAAGAATGTAATGATTATTGAAGCATTACAACCACCTCCAAATTTAGAGAAATTACGGATAAAATACTTTGGAGGCAAATCCATGTCTTTTGATTGGATGATATCATTAATCAAGTTGAAGGAGTTAGAGCTTTTTTATTGCTTCAACTGTGAGCATTTACCTCTTTTGGGAAAACTACCATCCCTTGAATCACTAAAGATAGAGCTAATGAGAAGTATAAAAAGAGTGGGTAATGAATTTTTGGGAATAGAAAATGATGCCACATCATCAATTGTTGCCTTTCCCAAATTGAAATTCCTCCTTGTCCGTGATCTTTCATTTTGGGAAGAGTGGAATGATGACAAATATATTACAATCATGCCATGTCTTCATTCTTTGTCAATTAAACGGTGTCCTAAATTAAAGGCACTGCCAGATCAAATTCTTCAAACACCAACACTGCAGCAATTAGAGATTGTTTATTGCTCTTTTCTGGAAGAACGTTACAAGGAGACAGGACATGATAGGAGCAAGATCTCTCACATTCCAAAAGTCTCTATTAGTCATTGGTAGATTATTGGAATGTGAGAGATGCAATTGCTATTCACCCATTGGTAAATTCATTCCCCTTCTCCTTTTTGTAATTCAAAATCTTATATTACAATAATGTTTATTATTTTCATGGATGAATATTTTGTTTTTATTATTTTCCGTAGGACTCTTATTTAACCAATTGTTATTGATTGCATTGGTTATTTAACCAATTGTTAGATCAATTTAATTTATTTATTTTTATGCATGAAAAACTGATTTATAATTTTTTGAAAACATGATATTTTGCATTTATTATAATATTTTTTAAAGACATGCAAAATTATAATAAAAGAAAATTGATAATAGTATTTAGATAACTTAAATAAATGTCTTTAAGAGTAGGATTTATCTGGTTAGGTCAATTTAATTTATTTATTTTTATGCATGAAAAAATGATTTATAATTTATTTTTATGCATGAAAAGTTGATTTACATAACTTAAATAAATACGAAGATGTCTTGTTTAAAAAATATTAAAATTTGGTTGAAATTGTCTTAAAAACAAATATTTCTCATAATATTTCTACTATTGATTAAACCCAACTAAACGTCATTCTTCGTCTTCAATATTCTAATCTTCGCTCTGTTTTTTCGATCGTCTTCAATATTCAAGAATATTTGGTGATGGGTGTTGATAGCGTCATTTTTCCCTTTTTCTGGGTTTGGTTTAGTGGGTTCTGGTGCGGCGAGCCACAGAGAGAGACTTCTGGAACCTGGGTATTTGGAGATGGAGGAGAGAGTTCTAAGCCGTTGAAGGTTATGTTTAGTGGGCCCGCCAAGCATTTGACCGATGCGATTCCGATTGGTAATGGAGGACTTGGAGGCTGGAGCCATGGTGTGGGGTGGTGATGCTTCAGAGACTCTTCAACTTAATGGTAAAGTACAGTTATCTTCGTTTGCGTTGTTGAAGAAAACTTTGGGTTCGTCATGCTTCCTGTTATTATTGTTTTTATTTTCAGTGAAGAAACACACTTTGAGAGTATTAGTAACGTTTGATTTAATTCATTATCACTTTATTGTTATAGAACCAGAATGTGAGAAATTAAAGATTAAATATCTTAATTTAACATAATTTTCTATATTTTTACTCGAGTAGATGGCAAAGAGTCATTTAAACTGCTTCAAATGTTTGGATTGGGGGCTTTATTATTTTTCTAATAATTATGGTAGGAATGCTATCACTTGTTCTTTTTAGGTTGAAATCGCTTTTCACTCTTATGTGTTGGTGACAGAAAGCCTGGGAAGCTGTGGCACTGGGAAGTAATTTCAGCTTTCCCATCTCTCTTGGCAGATAATGAAAGAAGTATTTGACTGATGACCCTGGTGCCTAGGCTGTTTGTTAAACCTTTGTGTTATATATCCATACAAGTCATTGCAGATGGTGGTTGCTAAACTTTCTCAATTAGATCCTGGCATCTTGAGATGATCCTTTCTTGATAGGAGTAACAGGGATCTTTAACTGAAATCAGATCACAGCTCTCTCTACTTTGGCTATTGTTCTGCAATTGGAGGTATTAAACTTGGCTAGCAAACCCTTTATTATGTATTTTGGTTTTGTTCTGTTTGTATTGGCTAAGACTTTCTCATTTTATGAATTTGGCAGGGTCTAGATTAATTTTGGAGACCCCATTGCAATGTTGTTGAAATCACCAGTTCTTGTAAATCTTTGGCAGCTATAAATGCGATAAAAATGGATAGTTTCTAAAGCATCTTAGCCCCAAGTTTCACATATAGTTATGGATGATTTTTAAACCATGTTTAGGTACTTTGTTTAGCAAATTGAGCTCTTTCTTTATCTTCATTTATCGGTTATAGCTGTTTTATGCAACCAATGCTTGTCATTCTAATTTTTTCTTTTTTTTTTTTTAATTTCATATTTCTTTTTGTTACCTTGTGTGAAAATTACAGACTTCTCAACTGCTGCAGCCACAACAAAATGCAGTCCAATGGAGGAATAAAGCCAAAATAATACACATATGCTAGCAACATGGTATCCAAATAAGTCATGAGATATTTGGTTATTTTGCCTCATCTTGTCAAGAGGCTGCTTGTTTATATTGTATGCATACTATTGAGGATGGCCTTCCAGCCTTATGAGCAGCAAAATGACCAGAATCAGGGGAAACAGCTGCATGTTCTCTTATGAAACAGAGTTTTGGTAGAGTTACGGATGCCTTATTTACAGAAGTCGTTTGGTGAGTTTTTTAATATACTTGCAACACGGAATTGAAGTCTTGAGATGTTTAGTATTTCTTCAATTGCATCATCTATCAAGAGGTTGATTGTTTGTATAATTATGCATATTATTGTAGATGATCTTCCATAGATGCACAGAGCAATGACTAGAATCAGGAAAAAGGCGCTTTTTCTTACATGAAGAGGAGTTTGGGCAGAATCACTGATGATTTATATGGAGAAGTAGTGAGTTTTTCATATGAGTTTGATATCTTTTGCTCATGCGATGCGTCATCAACTTGCAACTTTAGATGATTTGGCCATTATTTTGCACCCAAAGGTATCAAACTTTGCTGGCTAGAGCTTGATTATGTTATTATGTGCTGGTTCTTTAAGTTTTCGCTAAGGATTTCTCATTTCCTGAATGTTGCAGGCGCTACAATAAATTCAGATCCTAGTCCAAAGTTGTTGACATCATCAGTTCTGATATTGCTTTTGCTGTGATTTAATTGTTGTATATAACTGTAAAATTGTTCTTCTAAGTTTCATTAATTTGATATTTCCTTTTGTTACTTTGAAGAAACTGCAGACTTCTTAATTACTGTGAAATAGTTAAAATCCAGTTCATTGGAGGGATGATGCCGAAGTAAACAGGGAGGACATGATATTCTTGTTTGCCTAATTGATCATGAATCAGTTGACAGAATAAATTTGCCTCTCAGAAAATCATTCTTGCCTTTTAGGTCATTTATGTGAATCACAGTCATAAGAGTCGGCAATTTAATTGTTCAGGACTATGACAAGAAAAGAGAATGTACGAAGGTGGGAGAAGTGATGAAGCAAAATACTTACTCTTAAGTGATGGACAAATGCCTTGTTCAGAAATTACATGGTATTTAAGTTTCTGGTTGTCTAATTAATCATAAGTCATTAAGTAAATATATTTATAATCTCATTTTGAGATACTAATACCTGGTATTTATGTTGTTTATGTGAATAGAACACGGCACAGTCTAGTAGACATTGGACTCGAGGAGCAAGGATGGAATAGAACAAAGAAGTTAGGAGAAGTGATTAAAGGAAAAAGGTTTGTTATGTTTCAATAACAAGTTCTGTTTTCTTTTGGGCCATTTAGTTAGATATCAAATTCTTTTTTGAAGAAATGATGTTCAGACAAACTATGAAATAAGGTGATTCCCTTGTTTTAATTATTCTTGGTTCATTGGATTTGCATCAAATTGTTTTAAATCTTGTGTTAAAAACCACTTTAAAGCAAAAACTTTCATAATGCTGTCAGTTCTTTTAATTTTCTGTTTTGTTATCTCATGCACACAAGGTATCTTCTAAGTTCTGAAAGCGATTCTTAGCATCAGGCATCAAGGTGTCACAACACTCCAATAGGACCCCTAACTCTCTGTGGTTTTCTTGAGCAGTAGTGATGCATGATACAAGCTCAGTACTCGGCAGAATGTGGTCCTTCTTCCTTTTCATTTTCCCATCATCAGGTAATTTTTCATCTTCACTTCCCTTTCTTTCTTTTTTATCTTTTTGGTTATTTGTGATTTCTTATTATTGTGATTAATGAGGCATATTTGTGATATTCTTGATCAGGGTGACAAGACTAAAAATCATTCTCTCCTTTCTTGACTTCGTTACATGGTTAATAAATGCCATGCTTGAGGAAGCATGTCTTTCGCCTATTGTTCCATACTTTTTCACAGGCCTTCAATGTAGTTGGGGCTTTCACACAAGACATTTGTTCTTTAAACTGTTGACATGCAATAGTGATCAATATAAATATAACTAGTGCAACGAAATCTCTAATTTTCTGAATCAATTCAAGCAGGAGCAGAACAAAACTCAAGTTTGTAGATAAGAGATTGTTTGAACATATGAGAGGGTGTATTTCGTCTTGGAGTTCGGAGTTGTTTCAAAATTTTTGTATAAACACAAAACAGCTTTCATAGTTTATAATATCATTGAAAATTGTTTAGGCGCTTCCACTCCTATACAGTATTATAGTTTCTTCGTTTTACAGACATTAAAGAATGCTTTATCACCATACAAACTTGGAGGGGCAGCAGGTGGAAGTGATTATGATCCTAAAGGAAAAAGTGATAGTGAGGTAAGATCTTTGTTTTATGTTAAGATGGTATTTCTATAAGAACGTTCTAAGAAATTCCGAAAGTTTCTCTGACAGTTCTTGGTGAAACCGGCAGATCATGCGCTTTTGCCAAAGTTTCATGAATGAGATCTATAGATATCTGGGTTCCGACAAGGTAACTTAAGAAGACCTCCTTTTCATTTTTAATCTGTTTTGAAGTCTCTGAGTTGTATGACCCACTTCTCCATGCCTTATTTACTGTTTTGTGTAATTTTAGTATCTTCCATCAGAAGAGCTGGTGTTGGCACCCGCGAGATGGGATTTCTCTTTGGGCAATATAGACGTCTTGCTGGTCATCTTCAGGTAGTTAAAAACACTTGAAAGAGGCTGGTTGACACGTTGAATTTATCTTATATTTTTCTGCTTATATTCCCATTATTCTCTGTTATTTTTCATTATTATTATTTTTGGAGTCATTTCTTTAATTATGAGTGGTTGTTTGCATTTTTTTCTGTCAATGAACACTTTCATAAGATTAAGACTTCACTTTTTGCTTCATATGTATGCTTTATGCAGGGAAGTCTTAAGGGGCCAAGGATATTTTTGTCTGGTTCTAGCCTTTGAACTGAAGTTACTGGCTATGGGCTGGTAATTAATATTTTATTTCAACTCTCTGATTCTATTTTTGTATATCTGGGCGTGTAGGAACTAAAGTAAAGAAATGTGAGAATGCACACATTTGTTTTCTGACTTTGCCATCATGGGCAAATGATTTTTTGATTATTTTTTTTATCCCTTGTTTTAAACATCTGGCAATTTATCAAGGCCAATTTTTTTGTAGGTTTTCTTTGCCCAGCTTATTCTTACAGAATGCAGACATGAATAAGGAGCTCAAGGGACTGAGGTTCCTCACTCAACTTTCAATTATTACATTTTATGCGTACTAGAATTGATAACTCATGACCTTAATGTAGACTTATTTTACTGTATTCAACATAATACAGAAATTTGAATTCATTTTTTACTTGATGGTTTATTGACTTGCATTTAAGGTGTAATGTTTCTAATTCATAGAACCTATACATTGTTTACTGTTACCTTTCTGAGCGTCTCTTGTTCATTGTTTTGGTAACATCTTTCTGTTGCTTGATCGATTAGTATGTACTTAGAATATTACTTATTGCCGAAAGTTGTATTTCAAGTTTGTTGATATTAGTATAGTCTGTATGAATCTCTCATCCAGATGTGTTGTAAGTGGTTTTGGAAAGATTGCAATGCATGTTATAGAAAAGCTTATTGCCTATGATGCTGTCCCCATTATAGTGTCAGGTACTTTTCTGTTCTTGGTCAAGATTGTAGAAGTTAGAATCTTAATATAAGATTAGTATTGATACTAGATTAAACTAAGTTTATAAATTTTCCTTTTCATCTTTCTACTCCAAAATTTCTGATGGCATCCTAAACCTTTATACTGAAAGCATGTTCGCTGCTCCTTTGCAATACATGCTAAGTTTCTTGTTATGATATAAATAAGACTAGACTAGTTAAGCTGAGGGTATTTATTAATAGATGTGCATAAACTACCAAGCTAACAAATAAAACTCTTTTGGCAGATTTTATATAGATAATAATCTTAGGGTGTAAAAGTTTGTCGAGACAGTCTTGATTATCAGTTATATACTGTCGTTTCCAGTGAATAGGCACTAGTATAGTTACTTCTAATGAGTCATTTGCCCTTGTCTTGCACAGAGTCAAAAGGATATTTGGTGGATGAGGATGGATTTGATTACATGAAAATAACATTTTGATGGATATCAAAGCTCAGCAGAGAAGTTTGAGGTGTGTTTTTGTTTTTTCAGTTCATCTTGCATCTTCTATTATCAAATTGTCAATTTTGATACTCTTAGATTGATGTTATCTATGTGTTGCATCTGCAGAGACTACTAAAAGACTTATGCTCAGTCTAAGTACTATGATGGAGCAAAACCTTGGTGTGAAAGGTGTGGTGTTGCATTTCCTTGTGCTTCTCCGGATGAAATAGATCAGTATGATCCCATTAAGTAGGTTAATTCAGATTGCTGCATACTTGTAGAAGGGAGTAATTCACTATATGAGGGGCAATGGCTTTTAGTATCCATTGCTGATTTTGATAGGAAAAAAATGAGTGTTCATATGAACTGATATTATTAGATATTATTATGTGCTGCCTAGGTTCGAATATGCCATCTACCCCAATGGTGGTTAATATTCTGACAAAAGCTAATGTTCTTATTGCTCCTGCCATGGCTGCTGATGCTAGAAGGGTGTGTTCTTTACTTCTACAAGGTGTATGAATCTTTATGTGCCTTTTGAGTATCTATGCTACCATGGAATAATTGTTTATGCTTTTTATTTTGGTTTAAATAGGTATCAAGAGTTTGGTTTAACTATGGTGTTTAACGACATATTACAGTGATGATTGACTCGATAGGTTTTGAAACTTTTTTCTGTATTAACAGCTTGCCCTTTCTGATAATGATCAATGTTCAATTTTGCAGTGATTTGTGACATGATGGGGTTCTTTTGGACATGTTTAGTTGTCATAAATAGAGGCTTTACACCACAGTTTCATTGATTGTCAGGATGCCATGCTTAAGAACACATTTTTGTTTTAGAATGCAGCTAACTATAGATGTGAATGAAAGTAGATACATTCCAAAACCATTAATTAGTAAGGCTAACTATGGATGAATCTATGCAGAATTATTCCAAACTATTAGTAACTGTTCTGAATTATTGTGTATTACATAGCCATATAAGAATAGTCCGCACATCAACCCACTGACTTAATAACTTTATCCAAGTGGGTTGAATATGTTCTTGAACTCTTGTTTCCACATATTTTGAGTTGAAGGTGGGGCATATGAGCCATGGTTGCTTGACTGTGTTACAATTGTCCATTTCAATTTTGGTTTTGATCAAATTTTTTCACTAGTTTTTTCTCATATGTATTTATTTATTAAATTGTTGACCAACATGGCTACAGGTTGTTGCTGGTGAACTCGAATTAAATCATGAATGCAATTTGATGCACTGGTCACCTAAGGACTTAAAATCTAAATTACAAGTACGACTATGTATTTCATTTCAATCCTTATTGACTTATAATTTCAAAAATGCAAATAGATTAAAGCATATGCAGAAAGTACCAAGCTCGTTTCTCAATATTCCAAGCCTTTTAATCACATTAATGAAATATTAGATTTCATTTCTCTGAGTGGAACCCAGAGAATTCACTATAGTGAAAATGACTACAGAACCAACTGCTACTCGATGACCACCCCTTCTGCTAGGCCTCTGGAAGTTGACTTATAGAACTGTTAAAATGACTTAAAATTTCGAAGTTTCGAAGTGGCTCTTGACATAAAGTTGATAAGGAAATAGTGTATATAGTTAAGCTCCTTTAGGATCTTTCATATCGTGATATAGTATAATTTCCAGAATCCCAAATTTGGGTACTTTAGTTTGCTAAATTGTGTCATCTACGGATGTCTTTTTGTTTGTGTAAGAAATTGGAAATTAAATATTTTGCAATTATGTTTTTGTGAATTCTTATAACAATTACGTGTTACAAGAGAAGATATTTGATTTGTCAATTGCATTGGTGTTTGTGATGTGAAAGAGAGAAAATAGTCAGAACAAGTGACCAACTGGTGAAATTTTTGAAGCATGTTCTTTTTGAATGTTCTTTATTTTTATCTGCAATTACTGACCGTTATCAACTTCTTGTTGCCCCTTGTGCAGATTATGTTAGTTAGCTCTTCCATTCTCCCCAAATTCAGTGAGCAAAATCCTCTTACAGCTCATAAAGGTTTGTTTTTGTTGTCTTCTGGCTATTAATATATTCAATTACATTATGTAATACTTTGTTTTCATATCTCATTCTTGATGCAGTAATGAAAGTTAAACACTATATCAAATGTCAAGCTTTGTAGAATTAGTTCTTTTATCTACAAGATCACAGTTGTCGAAAAGGTAATGTCTTCTCGACAATCTTTAGTCTGCAAAATGACTAAGTTTATTTTGGAAAATTATCCATATCATTTTGTGTTGTTATTTTTTTTCAATTACCAGAGTTTTACTTAACATTGTATATCACAATGACAGAGCTTGCACAGGATGTTCTCCGTTATTCCAATGTTATCATCAAAAATTTTGATGAGCCCTGAAGACAATGGAGAGAATATAAATTTTGAAACATAAATTAAGGCATCGCGCTATGAATTTTGTTCAAAAGGGAGCATATATAATCATCAGGATGTTGCATAAATTGTGTCATGAAACCAATAGGTGGTTGAATTTTGGTCAAATTTGGCAACTCTTTATTAAGGGCAGAATGTTGTTTTTCCTTTGTAAACTTACTGAAGCCTTGAGATTATCTTGTTTCATACACAAGAAGGGGCGAGTTAGAAACATAACATAGATCGTGCAGAGAAACATATGGATTTTTTGCTCTTATATTAGAACAGTTTCTCTAGGATTGACTCTGGTTTGAGGTAGAGTTTGCTTTCAATCCTAAACTTATTGGAAGGCGTGTGAGAGTGTTCTGTAATTCTTGTACCATCTCATATAGTGAACCCAACATCATCACCCGTGGATGTAGGCATATTGGCCGAACCACGTAAATCGTTGTGCCTTTTGTGTTTTTGCCTTGACTTTTTTTTTTTTCTGGTTCTAACTTGCTGTTTGATTGTGTCCTTGATTTGGACATTGTTACTTGGTTATTTCAGTTTTCTAAAAAATTAAACTATGATTTAAGTTCATAAATATTCATTCAAGGTATAATTATTAACCATAATCCACAAGCAATCAAACAGCAATAGCCCATTAACAATATTGGGCCAATAAGGTTAACACATCCACGATTATTGGTATTTTTCTTGAAATTTTCATAACTTGATTAAGAAACCAAATGAAAAAGCCTAGCACAGAGCAACATAATCATGGTCAATGCAGCAATGCCTAAATTACAATAGACATTAATAATTATCGCCATTGATGTAGAAAGCATTAATTGTAGCCAAGGAATTAAAGCAAAGTCATGGCTTCCTTCTCTTCAAACTTGGTGGCCAGACACAACTCATTTGAAACCTAAAGTCAATGACCTAGATAGCTTTTGTCCTTCAATTGCAATGTATACTCACTACTTCACTTTGAACTTACCAATTATTGACCAATACTACTCCGGACCACAAGACAAGTAACATATTTTTCTTCTCCATAGAGAATAGTAGCATTACATTGATTTCTATTGATATTATATTTAAAAATATATTTTCTCCATACTTTTCCATGTAACACCTCATATTCATAGTGTAATGTTAGGATCTGATTATAAGTTATAGGTACATTTCGAACCCAAATATGGTTACTATCTCTGTTTTAAAAATTGGATCGGCCGGTCAAACCGAGACCCGGCAGCTTCTTCAGTCCGATTCAGGTCTTAGGGGAGTTTTTGTAATATTTTAAAATTATAAGGGTTAATTGTAATTTTATAGGGGTGTTTTGGATATATGTCAAAAGTTTATGGATTATTTGGTAAATTTTGGGGCATTTTTTAAATAAATAAAAATTTTAGAGACTAATTTAAACTTTTTTAGGGGAATTTTTGTAATATATTAAAATTGTCGCTGACGTCATCGGTCCAACTAGTCAGTCCAACCGGTTGACCCGTGACCCGAGCATCAAAACGAGTTACCCTCTAATCCGGGTTTTAAAACAGTGGTTACTATAATTAAAAAGGAAGGAGCAAAAAGAAGATGACTAAAAAACAATTAAATGATTCTTCCTTGGGTAGCTCAGATGATTAGGGCGATTTGGGGACAGTGTGGATAGGTGTACGATCTCAGATTTGATTCCTCATTTGAACATCCGCAATTTAAATGGATAACCATAACGGTGGGTTGTTGCGCTAGTCTCTTTGGAGAATTAACTAAAGTGCATATAAGCTAGCCCTTAACATTTCAAACCCAAACATGGCTACTATAATTAAAAAAGAAGAAACAGAGAGAGGAGTGCTAAAGAACAATTAAGTGGGGGGGTAAAATAGTGGACTCTTCATGAGAATTCTTTTGGAGAAATTGGTCTTCTCAATGGAGAGTCACATCACTCATAGTTGGCCAAGTTTCTCCAAATGTCGAAGTAATTAAGCAGCAACCCCCACAAATGGTTGGCTGTAGATAGAAATGTTAACACAAAGAGAGAGAAAGTGGTCCAATAAACCACATCATTGAGCACGGCCCATGAGAAATAATAAAGAGGAGGACAAAGCCCTTTGATAATTCAACTCATTTACTTACATATCATTTCATCAATTCAAACCAAATAGATTGATTTTAGTATTCTTTACCAAATTAAGGTTTCAACTTTTAGTAGAAGACTACTAAACAAATAGAGTCCTAGAGCCTTAAAGTTATATATGTGCCGACTGTCTATTTATCGCTTGACCTATCAATACAACTAGATTATTTTCATTTTTAAATATATATTTTCTTTGATAATATCATTCTATAAGTGTATAAATTCGAGATACGATTGCTTCGAAAAACCCATTTTATAGTTAGAAAATCGAATTTGAAAAACATACTTTTTTTCTTTTTCTAAAAAATTTTGATCGGTAAAAAACGACTCATAAACATTTTATATATATGTATTTTGAAGAACTAAACAAGTTACAATGATCATATAAAAGTCAACTTAGAGAAATAGGAGATTGGCTAAAAAAGATTTGGTGTTCAATCCAAATTACCAACTTCATAACAATGAAAATGATGGATAATGATCTAGTCAATTAGGTTTCTTTAATAGTATAAGACTATTCAAACCATTTAAATCTTAGGAAAGCATATGGTCAAAAAGAAGATTAAAAACATATTGAATAGATTGACAAGTTGTAAATAAGAAAACATAAAAGAATTAGAAACAAAATCCAAGTGGTAGGGAAAGTTTAATGAAATTTGTCTAGTGCTTCCAAGACAAAATTGGAACAAAATAACTTGAACTATGGACTTTGGATTTCCCATATCTTTCTCCCATTCCATCAACTTATCCTTTACTCTACATTCATGCATCCCATACTTATTAAACAAATCAATAATTTCACTTAGGTTAATTTCCTACCTAATGGAGGGTAAATATCTTCGACACTCCCCAAATTTTGGGTTAATATCATCGACATACCCTAAGGTTTGGAAAAACGGTTTAATCACATCCTTGCATTTTGCTATCAACGGAAAAAGATTGTATTCCAAGTCAACTTCTGAAAGACAAGAAATAATCTTAGGAGTCAAAAATACTCAACGGTTGACAAATATATATCTTAATGTATATGAGAGATGTCACTGATTTTATAAAATTATAGATATGTCATCGATAGCTACTCAAAACTAAGAGAAACTGCGTTAACGTTAATTTGCAAACTATATAGTGTATAACACTCCCCAATTTTTTTTTTTTGTTACTACCGTCGACGTTTTTTTGAGTCAACTTCCGAAAGACGAGAAAGTTAGAATATTTCAATGCTTGACAAACATATTTTATCGCATGAATGAGATGTCGTAAAGTTTTTTAAAATTATGGATATGTCAATGATATTTACTCGAAAGCAAAAGGGGCTACATGATATTGTCTCTCTTATATTGTATATAATTTTCATCCGTATCCCATCTAAGACGAGAGCAAAGATTCCTAGAGAATACAACAAAACCAAAGCCTTACCATAAATTAGTTATGTAAATTACATATAATAATAATATACAAAAATGTACCTAGTGATATTGATGGTCATTAAATTACAATATATGATAAAGTCTAATACTCAATAATTAAATGAGAAAAATAAAATTAAAAAAATTACCCATTTTTCTTCTTTCATTTAGAGAAAACTCATACAAACCAACATAAAACACCTCACCCAAAAAAAAAAAAAAAAAAAAAAAAGGTGAAATTACCTATACATATATATATGTCATGTAATTTTCTAGTATGGCAAATAGCATCATGAAAATGCTCCTAATTACCATAATTAACCACCATACTTAACATCATTAAACCCAGAATTATATAAAATAAAATAAAAATAAAAAATAAAGCTCTCTCTCTCTTTTATTGAAAATTAGAACCTGGGGTGTAAATAGCAAGATCAGGCCACCCATTACCACCACTACTCCAACAACTTGAATCACCACCCCCACCCCCGCCACCGCCACCTCCACTAGTTTGCATATAACTCTCACCACCACCAACATTATTGCCCTGAAGATCCAACCCGGATGTCCGAACCGAACTTCCACCCGAATTAAAACTCTCCCCAAAACCACCCATTGGCACCATTTTTAAACCCGACCCATTTGGATTCAACCCATCCAGGACACTTCCCAGCCCACCAGTGGACGCCAGGAGTGAGCTGAAGCTCCCTGAAATGTCCAGCATCTTATGATCCTGATCCACGGGCAATCCGTATATCCTCCCCGGGTCACCGTCCGAGCCGCCACTCCCGCCCGCTTCCTGCGAAGAAGTGGCTGCCAACAATGACTGCGGGTGTGAATGCGATGGCTCTTGAAATTTCCGGGTCGGGTTGACCCGGGAGGGATCGGGGTCAGGCTTCTGGCGTTTCTTGGTGGTGTTCTTGCGCGTGCCACCGCCGACGGGGATGTTTCTGAGGGCGCCACCTTTGGTCCAATAACGACGGCAATTCTTGCAGAAGTGGCGCGGCTGAGAGAGATTGTAGTTGTTGTAGTAACAAAACTTGGTGTTGGTGGAGTCACAGCGCGGACATTTGAGCTGCTCAAGCTCTGGAAAATGCGGCTTCATTGCCTGGAACGCTGTTGGATCTTGCATTTTTCTGTTTTCCGACACCAAAAAAGACTGAATTTTGATTGATCGTTTATGAATTTCTGAAGATTTGGCGAAGTGGGTTTGGCTCAGAAAATGAAATTGAGAGTGATAAAGTGAAGATCTGAACTGGGATTAGTGAGGTTTCGAAGTGGCAAAAAGGCCAAAACAGGAACTAAAAAGAGGACAAAAATTCAGAATATCTTTTACACACAAACATAAGTTTCCCTGAAAGCTTTAAAAAATGTTTCCAATTCCATGCTTCCTTGAAACTCAACCAAAACCCACCTCAAGAAAGCCGAAATTTTAACACAAATTCTCACTGAAACTCGACTTTCCAGGAAGGACTCAACTTTCTTCTGTTTGAACGGTGGGAAAACTTAGCAGAGAAGATGATCTAATCCGTGTGAGTTAAACGCGTGAGAGTGACCACTAGAGTTGAAATAAAGAGAAAACACACTGCTGATTCTGTGTCGATTGGGATTGGGATTAGGAGTGAGTGAGTGAGTGTGAGTCGGCTGGGCTTTGTTTGTTTTGAAGACAAAAACCAGGGGAAGGAGGCAGAAGGGAGCCCCACCAGAGAGGTTTCCACTAATCCTGTAATTAATTAGAAAGTAATTCACTTTAGATTAAATAAATAGTAAATAAATAATGATTCTGATTCTTCATTCTTTTGTAAGCATGGCCAGACGTCAAAAAAGATTGAATAATTTACAGTTAGAAGAGAGAACAAATGTCAACTTCCATTATGCAATGTCTTTCTTATTTTATTAGTCGGTATGATTAACTCTTAAAGTATTATTTTATCATCTTCTTCCATATCTATTCTTAAAGTGTCTTTAGTGGCGGCATTTTTTTCTTTTTTTCTATATATTTTTGGCTCATTAAAATTGTAAAGGCCAAATTTATTATTAATAATGTTATCTATAACACATCAATTGAGATTTTGGACAAAAGGGTATTTCCAAATAAGGGTTTTATGTTAAATGTATTTGTAAAAAGCATTTGATTTTGATGCTGTAAGGTGAAAAAAAGTCAAACACAAGAATTAAATATTAGTTAAGTCGTAATCTTTCTAGAGTATTAGTGAATAATAGCCGTTAATAACCCACCTTAATAAAGAAATATTAGGCTCCGTTTGTTACGCTATTAGGGATACTATTATTAATATTCTTAATGAAGTTAAACAGTAAAATGTCATTATTATCAAAATATTATTCTATATTTTTTAATTTCTTTTAGACCCTTTTAAATTTGTTAATTTAATTAAATACCTCTAAATATGTTTTTTAGAAATTGTAAAAACACTCTGGCCACCCTCTAGGGGTGGTGGCCGGTGTCTATATTTAATGGACGGATTAGAAGTATTTTTGTTAACTTTTAATATTTTATATAAGGGTGTTTAGTAAATAAATAAACATAAGGGGTATTTTTATTAATTTTCAAATCTTACATCGTAATATTTTCTTAATTTAACTTTTTTTTTTTCAAAATATTACTCTAAAACTATCAGAATGATGAATCAAACGGAGCCTAACACGGAAGTAATTAAATATACGGTAAGATGTCACTAACCCCTTGCGAGTGGAATTAAAATTTAAAGTCTAACACGGGAGTAATTACGAACAACTCCTTTAATACCCTTTTTAGAAAATTATAATATTACTTTCAAAAATAATATTTATATATATTATTTAATAAATTTAATAATTATTTTAATTTTAATTTGTTGATATAATGATTATCATTAAGCCACAATAGCTAAAGAAGCCGAGCCAAATGGGCCAAGCCTGTGAGCCCACAAAAGCTAGCGTGCAAATAAAGCAAGATAGCCCAGAGAGGGCATCATTCGTATTCCATCAAAAAATCAAAGCCGTCCATGTATCACGGCTCAAACCTCGGCCGTCCAAGTGTTTGAAGGATTTTAGGAATTTTAGCGTTAAGCTGCCGTCACCCAGTAGCCAATGTCACCGGCAACACGTGGCAGAACCCCATGAGTATCATAAGCACTACTTAGAGCTGGTAAAGTGACAGGAAAAATAGGGCGGACTCAGTATGAAAGCTATGGATCATTACTGACGTGGCCCCCACTAATCTGTCATTTATTGGTCGGTCGTGTTGGTTTTTGTATTTATCCATATTTTTTGTGATTTTATTTATTTATCACATTTAATTTGGAAACTTCAAGGAAAATTTTGGTTGCTTTTATAATAAAATATTAAAAAGTTCATAAATTTTATTTTAAAGGGAAACCGTAAAAGATAATAATAATAATTAAAAAAAATTGAACACCAATTATTTTATGATTAGGTGCATAATCAACAATAAATTAGATTATCTCATTAAACTTATAAATTAATTTAATGCGAAAATGTATAACACAATCGAACGGTCCAAACATAATATCAATGTAATTAAATTTGTATCGAATAATTTATATTTTACTGGTAATATAGGATTAAGAGAAAATGAGGAATGTCACATTTCAATATAGATAATATTAATTCTAATGTAGATAATAGTTATTCAAATCAATAAATGTGACATGACACAATGAACCACCAGTGATAACAAATAAATGCTGAAAAAAAAAAATCAACAAAGATAATGTTTTCCTGGTTGTGATTATAGTAATGGAACGTTGTGTTAATTATAAATTAAAATTTAGTTAAGATATGCAGAAATTAGCCTAAATATCCTGTTTGAAAAAAAAAAAAAAATTTGTTCTATGTTGACATTAGGTTATGCTTGATCTTTATTATAGAAACAATTTTATGCATGAATCCATCTATCATTTGAAATTTAATTAACAATTAAGTTAAATAATTAATAGTTTTGGATTAAATTAGAATTCAAAATCATTATGCATTGTAAATATTTTTTATTCTTAAATAATAAAAAGATAGTAAGTTCGATAATATATATAATTAATCATATAAGCTTTTACTAATTCATAGATGCTTAAAACTTAAACCAATTTGAGTTGAGCTACACAATATTTGAAATCAATAATAATATTATAAATACAAAGTCTTGCATACAAAATAATCGTAATAATACTTTGTAATATTGTGTCATTCACCGTCATATAATGTGCATTTATTATTTTGATTTTTTACATTAATGCATTCATAGACTCTTTATAAATATAGTATTATTCTATTAGAAATATGAAGTGGATATATAGGGATAGGGGTGTTCAAAAAAATCGATTGGAACTGAAACCAGCGGATACCCGGGGTTTGGTTCCAGTTCTAAGTTTTTGGAATCGCTACTGTGCGGTTCTGGTTCTGGTTCCTATAGTTAGGAACCGAAACTGAAACCGGGAATCGAGACTAATATAAAACATAATTAAAGAGTTGGGGGGTTAATAAAAACTTTTGTAAAAAAAGTAACGTAAATACATTTATATTTATATTTCATAACATTTAAAGTAAGTTGGTTTGACTTTTGAGAATCTACCTTTATAAAGTAATTGAGTTTGTAATTTTGAATTTATAATTTGTAATTTTATTTTTGTTAACAAATGCAAGGTGGAGGGGAGGTTATTTGTAATTTTTTAAGGGTTTTTTTTTTTTTTTTTTGCCTTTTAAAAACTTTTGGGGGATAATTGTAATTTGATAGGGTACCTAGAACCGGAACCGAAACCATTGTTACAGGTTCCGGTTCTAGGTATCTAGGAACCGAAACCGTCGGTTCTAGTTCCCTTTCTCGTTTTTTCAAAAAATACAGGATGTCCAGAACCGAACACTCATATATATATATATATATATATAAACAAAACAAAACAAATAAAAAGAAAAGAGGTATATTATGACGTAAGATCTGATCATTTATTTGTTGGTTTGGTATTTGTGGGAATTCAGAGAGCTAAGATTTTATGATTGATAATCCTTGCTTTCTAGCTTGTCACTTATATTTAATGAAGATCTTACGGAAGGATACTCATTTAATTCCAATTAAAAAGACTTAGAATTTAGTCAAAATATTACTGTAGAACTAGCTACTCACATCCAATATTATATGACATATTATCTTATGGATTCAGTAACAGTATCGACTATCAAATAAGTTTACTCTTCAGTTCAGTGAATAAATTTGTTAATTAAGACGTTATTAAATATAACAACTTTATTTTCAAGGAGTGCTATACTATTATTTAAAAAAAAAAAAAAACTTTGATATCGTATCTGTGGTAACACGGGTGAATAAAATTGAAAAGTTGATATAAGTGTATAATAATGTGTCATTATATAGGGTAATCACAAATACCGAAAGATATTTTTCTTTTTAAAAAAAAAAAATATATGAATTATAAGATGATCCATGGAAAAATTAAACTTATAATTAAAATGGCAAGAGATTTGTGGTTCAATGAGTGCACATAAAAATACAGAGTGACACACATGGTAAACAAAGGAAAAAGAGGCATTGATTGAGGGAGCACGAGAGGGAAATGATGGGGATCAAGTGGGTCAATAATGAGAGTGGATGATGATGAAGAGAGGGGAGAGGGCCATTGATTGATGTTGTGGTGGGTCATGGTAGAGGAAATCGGTGGTGGTGGAAGTGGTGGTGGTGATGGTGCGGTGACTGAGGCCGGCCCAGGTGGCTCCAAAATGTCTAGTCTTTGTCGTGGATGCGTGCAACACGCCTTAGTTGGCGTGCTTCTCTTCCTGCTGTGTTTTTTTGCTTTGCATGCATGCCCTTGTTTCTCTCCGGATTCACCGCTGCTTTTACTAATATTATTATTGTTCTTCACTGTGTTTTCAACTTTCTAACAGTCGTGCTCATGCATGGTGATGGTGGTGGTGCCCTTTTTTTTAAAATTTATTTTTAACCTAAACTGTGGTTGAGTACTAGGATTGGAACACAAACAGTTTGGATGAATAATTTTAGTATGTGTGGTTCGATTGTGTGGGGTAGAGAGACTTCAAACTTCAAAGTAAGAATGTAATTTATATGAAAATTCTCAGATATACAGGTTCTATATTATGGTCTTACTTAAGATTAAGAACACATTACAATTTCTATATAATGTGTTTATTTTTTTTTTTTTTTTGGGTAATAGTCACCCCTTAAGGTGTCCGTCCTGGAAAAAGGTAACGCAGTAATCCACCGCTATAGTCTCTTGTATACTCATATGAGGGATCGAACCTGACAGTGTGCGTCTATCCATATTATCCCAATTCACTTTAACCATCTAGACTACCTATGGATGAGTATGGGGATATCATGCAATTTATAAAAATCACTTTCTCATCCTATTTGCAATTCGTTTGAAGTTATTTTTAACCGATGAATATGTATGAATCTAGAATTGTTTGTTACTCACTATAAATTAAAATGATATTATGATCTGGCATGTAGTTTACTCTTTTATAAAGTTTGAATTTCAAATTTTAAATTACCTCTAGGTAGTTTGATTGTTTGCTTGAGACTCTTGGTGTATTATTTAAGAGATATTGAGTTCGAATCTTCACGACTATAATAAGGGATAGCCACTGAAGGATTATCTGGCCGTTAACTTCAGGGCTCCATGAATAGTTGAGATGTGCGCAAGCTGGCTTGGTCACTCCCGGATGCCAAAAAAAAAAAAAAAAAGAATTTCAAATTTCCTTTAAGCACCTTCATGGCTAAATGTTTATCGTGTGTTTGGTAGAGTATTTAGAATAGTATTTTGAAAAAGTTGAGTTTGGTTGATATTACGAGAATATAATTTGATATGAATCAGAAAATGTGTTTGTTAAATTTTGGAAATTATTTTATGAAATATTTAGATTATTTTTTAATCTCCTACATTTTTAATTTAGTTAACACCATCTACAATAAAAGTTTTAAAATTAACAAAAACACTCTCACCCACTCAGTAAATACCGGAAGCTGACCACCACCACTAGATGGTGCCAAAAACGCCGAAATAGACATACCAACTGGATTTGGCTGATAGTGCGTCGATATGGCATTTTCCTACCAGATCCATCATGGACTTGACAGAAAATGGCCAGATCTACGCGAAAGATTTGGCGTTAATAGTCAAATTTGGTCGTTGACGATGGCCATATCTTGGCCATCGTTGGCAGCCGAGATTATGCTGTCGTTGACGACCAGATCTGGCCGTTAACGACCAAATCTTTGGCTATAGATCTGACTTTTTTCGATTATATCCATGGTAATCTAGTTAGAAAAAGTCATATCGGCGCACACCGACCACACTAACAAACCGTTGCCTTTCTTATAGTTCGCTGCAAAAATATGTGGGTGGATGGGAGTGATTTATCATTTATACACTTTATTCTTGGGTGTTTAATTAAATTAATAAATTTAGAGGTTGAAAAAATCTAAATATTTCTATCTGAATAGAATAGGATTAGTTTAAGAATATTAAACAATTATATATTTTGGATAGGAATGAGAATAGTTGTGTTGTTTTCCTATTTTCAATCCTATTTATGTAGCAAAAGTCATTGCTCAAATTTCAAACGATAGAGAAAAAATTACTATGTTGTCAGAATGCCGACAGATTTATACACAATTTTTGTGACAATATGGAAGTCAAAGAAACTAGAAGATGGATGGAAATTTTAATGGGACTCTGAGACGTTTATTTTTAGCTATTCAATGTGCAAACGTGTTTTGGTTACGTTAAATAGCGTAAAAAAATATTTACGCTTGATTCTCCATATTATTCACGAAAATTGTGTATAAATCATGTCGACATTCTGATAAATATTAATTTTTTCCCTATCGTTTGAAATTTGAAGCAATGACTTTTGCTACATAAATGCCTGCGCAGATTCTTTCAGTTTACTAAATGAACCCAGTTTTCTAATTTCAGGACCCATTTGCAGAAGGATCGATTCCATGGAGAATTGCTTTTATTCTCCATTTCTGGTTTCACATGGCATTGATTTGATCATTCAAGAACTATTTAGCTTAACACGTATTTTCTTCCTTCTTTTTTTTCAAATTCTCAGGTTTTTCAACGGCTCATAATTCTCATGCCGGTTTGATTCTTTGAAATGCTTGTTTACGAAGTCAATGCTTTCACATTTTGAGTTGATGGATCAGAAAAAATACTTCAGATTTTTACATCTAGAAGCGTTTCCGGAAATGCCTGGAATATTATTTATCGAATTTGACTGTTGAATGTTCTCTGGAATCTATTCTCCAGAAAATAGTTGAACAAAGAGTATCCAAAATGTGTCAATTTATTTGCGGAGCAAATTAAAATTAAACAAAAGGGACAAAACTGACTACTATTATTGGAATAGCAGTACTAAAATTCTGAAAATCCTGAAGGAATTTCAATCAAACATAGTAGCCTGTGAAGGTGAAGCCTCTTCCAATAATCTCACCTCCACAAAACCAAGCAAAACACTCAACGCCAAACAAAGCAGCCAGGCCAGCATTTTCTAGATTCAACTCCAGCTGCCTGTTCTTGATTAACAGCTTCACCCCATCAAGTTCCCTCCAGAACGCCTCGCGACGATGAGGGATACTGCAGAATTGCAAGTATCAAATTCGACAATTAACTAATTAACATAATGCATACACAAAACATAGATTTATCTGAATATTCTATTTGTCAAAATCCAAATCCTAATGAAATAGTCACTTTAAGGGTCCTATGAAACGAGGCATGGAACAGAGCTACTATGAACACGTTCAGGGAGTTACAAAGAAAACTTCGAGTTTATATTGGTTATGGGTTGAGAATTTGATTCATTCCGAATTACAGAATTCAGAATTAATTTTGATACAACTCATCTACATGTAAACAAGAAAATTGCAGATCAAACCAGTCTAATGAAATATATTATTATAATGAAATCGAATGAGCTTCAGGAATTACCTGGCGAGGCGAGTGTAGAACAATTGTTTGGCGAGTAATTTGCAGTTCTCAGCGCTTGGTGGATGCTGGACATGGTGCTTGTTCTGCTCCATTAAATTCTTGACATAAGAACTCCCACTCTTAACAACAAATTGTGAGACCTGAACAGCCTTTTCTTGTAACTGAGGCAACTTTGACGCCATTAATCCACTCCCACTCTTAACAACAAATTGTGAAACCTGAACTGCCTTTTCTTGTAACTGAGGCAACTTTGACGCCATTAATCTACTCCTTAAAACAAGATCAATACACAAATGTCAGTCTTTAAACCCTCATAAACAATTAAAAAAAAGAAAAAATAAAAACTCATAAAATTCAGACTTTTGATTCTTCAAAGAAGATATATAATTAAACAGGAGGATTACATAATTAAAGGGTATTAGCATTTAATTGAGAATAATTACCTTTGATTAATTTTTCTCTAGAATTTTTAAGAATGAGAAAGTTTTGGCGATAAAAGAAAAAGGTTTTCTGATCTCTATCCCTTCTGTTATGGGTGAGTTTCTTTGTAACAGCTTACCAAGAAATGTGTATTGACTTAATTTTCAAATAATATTAAAAGGGTATTACTACTATCTTATCATTCTACCAATAATACAGAAAAAATGATACAATGAAATAATTATTTAGTGAAAACTTTGGATTAAGATTGAAAAATTTAGAAATAATTTGTTTGATGGGCATCATCAGCCCTTTAAGATACATAGAGTTAATGCATTAAAAGGCTGATACTTCATAATCATTTGAGTCCACAGTTCTTAATTTTAACAAAAAGTAAAACAAAAATCTTAATTGGAATCATTATTTATGTTATGAGTAAAATGTTTATAGACATTAATTATGAAGTATACAAACTGATATTAAATATTTATAAAAATTTAATGTAAATATCAAATATCTATAAGAGTGATTCATGTCATCAAAGTCTTGTGGCTGAATCCTACATGAAATATTTCAGTTGATGGATGATTAGTTAGCGAGAGATTTTAAAACAAATCCCTGTTGAGATGAATTTCATTTTCTCCCGTTGAGGAATGTTCAATTTTCTCGGAACTTGATTGATGAATGATTAAATACTCAGAGATTCTGTTAGGATCCCACGTTAGGATCTCACACCTACCTAGTGTGATACTTAAACCTAGGGGCTCTTCCACCTATCAGGCCTGTCTTTTGAGGTTGGCTCTCCCTTCGCTTTGAGATCTAATATTGGTGCTTTTTGTTGAGAGTTGGGCTACGGAAAGGACTACCTATAGGCTAGATTAAGGTGCAATATGCATTGAATGACTAATAGGTGAGTGAAGCCGCCCAAAGGGAGAAATGGCTACCGTCAGGTCAGTGCCGATAGAGTGAAAGTCGCCGTAAACAGCGGCTCTTAAAAGAAGGTGCAATGTTAGGATCCCACATCGAGATCGCACACCCACCAAGTGTGGTACTTAAGCCTATGAGTTCTTCCACTTATTAGGCCGGTCTTTTGGGTTGGGTTCTTCCTTAGGCTTGAGTTCTAACATATTCTAAAACAAATCTCTATTGAAAAATATTCAGTTTCCTCCATCATCTTAATGGCTAATTTTCTGTTTTGATTAAATAAAATCCTAATTTTTCAATGGAGGAGGACAGCATTTATTATATATATAAATTAAGTCATTCTAACATGATGATGTTTATCAGCTTAATAAAATGAATTGTGCTACCATCAAAATGTGATAACAACATCATGCAAAGCAAGTTTAGATAATTCTTTAAGTTAGTAAACCCCTTTTTTTCTTGAGGACTCAATTGCGGCGTTTTATCAATTTACGGACACTTTATTTTTAAACTAATTAGAAAATGATCACACAAATAAAATGACAAATCTGTTTAGGTGTGAGGGATTTTGTTTGGTACCCTCACTCGTTTCTTAGTCCTCGGAAATGGGTTCTCTTGTAAAGGATTGTTCGTCCTAGTTTCTTTTGTTTTATTTTTGTTATCGATTCGTCTTGTTCTCAAGGGTCAATTCGTTTAAAGGTTTCCTATTTAGTTGTAATTCTTTATTCATTATAAAATTACCAGATACCCTAAAAGAATATGTTAGATTAAACTTTAAAGAAGGTAAGAAGGTAATTCAACAAATCAAAATATTTCATTAAATATTTATAAATTTAAAAATATTTTTAAAACAATAAAATCATATTTAGATAAAAAAAAAAAATTTAAATTTTAGTTTACTAATTATTTAATTATCGGGTTTAAAAATAAAAATTAAAACTATTTAAAAAATTTAACAATAATTAACAGAATTTTATCCCTTTTTTGTGTGTTTTAAAATTTTATGTTAGTATACCAGTTAACAGTCATTATATAACTATGTCTGGGCTAGGGTGGGCCGGCTGGATCCGGGCCCACAATGATCCCAAACTGATCCAAGTCTTCACCCACATTTATGCACCACCTCAGCAGCCCAATAGGCTAGCCGAAGGATGATCACACAGGCCCAGTTCATGAGATCAACCACAGTCGCATTTTGTGGGTTCCACTTAATCTTGATTAACGGTCAAGCATAGAAATGGATATGGCCGTTTGATTGATGGAGCTTAATTTCATCGATTAAAAGTTTAAGCAGGTTTAGAATTTCAGGATTTGAAGCAAATCGTCTACAATGAATGGACAAACAGTAAAAGCAGAGAGACAAATGGGAAGAACATCATTTCCTTACTATATAAGCGTTGGCTCATCATGGCTCAAAAGTATTCTGAAGAAAAAAAAACAAAAGTTTCAAGAACAAGTTTACAGAAGTACAATGCAAAATCTACATTTTTTTTTTCCAGGACGACAAAAGTTATGACCAAAAAAATGAACAAGAAAAGCAAACAGAGAAGCAATAATCTTAACCCTAGCGGCACGTCCCACCAAAGACTTGATGAAGCCTGGAAAATTTGAATCAGAAGTCATTTGGAAAAACCTAGTGACAAAGAATGAGGAAAGAAAAACAGAGGCTACATTTATCTTAGAACTAAAGGGTTATGTTCCAAACACAACAAAGAATCAATAAAAAAATGATGCACTGCAAGTTTTCAACAGCTCCTTCCCACCAAGATTTGTAAAAAAAATGAAAAAAAAGAAAAAAAAAAAAAAAAACTACATTTACCTTAAACCTAGTGGCAAATATTGAACATCCTTTAGTTTTTGTTGTAGGAGAGCTACAATCACATTTTTCTTCTTGGACTTCGACCCAACACAATTTTAAAACATAACTGCATCTACTATTTTACCAGGAGATGCGCAAAACAGAAAAAGGAAGAAGGAATTTGGGGGCTTGGGAAGAGGAATTAAGTAAAAAGAGAATCAAGCTGCCCACCCGGGAACAAAATCAGGTAGCTTCCTCGTGGATTCTGTGACAGCCATTTCACAACCTTCCTACTATAGCATGTGCTACAGAGTTAAGGGGCACTTGCGCCAGTGTGACGATTTTATGTAGCCTCCAGTTCACTGGTTGGTGGGAAAGGGAAAAGAAGCCTTCTCCGACAGCAACCCAAAAAAGTTAACCAAGAAATACATTTCTTCCCGCACCATCTTTATGCATAGTACATGTACAAGCTGTTTGCAGCAGCACAAGCAATTGAGTTTTCAGTTGGGTGCCATGCTAGGTGGAGCAACTTTGTCGTGAAATCAAAAGAATTTCCATTTGCATCAACTCCAGGACTGTCTGCTCCTGTTACAGTCCCCCAATCCACAGAATAATCAAATTCTAGGAAAGATAACAAAAGTAAATGACGGAGAGATGAAAAAAAGAAGTCCAATTCACTTTAAAATTTGGAACAAAAGAAACTATGAAGTTAAACTTACCTCGTCTGACAACACGTGTTATACTGCTAAGGGATCTGGAAGGCCTTGAAGGTGTTTGAACTTGTCTCCTATAACAGCATATTAAAATTTATATCCTGTAGTGTTTTTACATAAATCCTCAGTTATGCTATTCTTATTGATATCTAAATTACCTCATTGGATTTTTGCTGGCCTCCAACGTTGCTGCTTCAGTACTTCCCGGTGCACAACCAAACACACGGAATAGATTGCTGTGATGATAGTTACAAAATATCAATATGAAGTCCAGGGGTTCTCACAGCAATGAAACGGTGAATTTATACACAAAAACGTACCTGTAAGAACCTGTTGCTACTCGCAATCCATCACCACTTAGGCAACACTCGAATTTATCAAAGATTGAATCATTTTCATATAAATCACACAGCTGGAAACAAAAAAGAAAAGTTTAATCACAATAGACACAGGAAGAGAAAAAAAAAAGCGCAACGTATTGGGTTTGGTTTTGTCCAGAGATAAAATCCTCACCTTAGGTCTTAAATATTCATGAACCTGGAAAGTTGCAACAGGACCTGAATCCATGTTAATATCCCACAACTGCCAAAGAAGTAAAACACTCAAGTTAAAACCAGGAAAAAGTTTATGCAAGTTGCCAAAAAATCTGACAAGTCACATGTGTGCAAAAAGCTAGTCCTTGGAGAAACGCTCAAACTAGTGTTGAGATACAGATGAAGAATAAAACATACAGAAAATATTGTTGGACATGACAATACAGACACAACTAAACAAAACATGTGACCTATAGCTTAGAGCTTTTGATGTGAAAGCAAGGATGTAACTGATCATAATAATAGGAGTACAAAGGAAAACCACTAACAGCCAGGACAAAGGCTCGAAAAAGTAGCATTCAAAGAGAGCATTATGGTCACAATATCAGTAACACAATGAGCAGATAACACAAAATATTATTTGCAATTATGAAATGCAAGTAAAAAACATAGACAAAAATCCCTGAAATGCAAGTAAAAAACATAGACAAAAATCCCTAACCTTAAGAGTCATGTAGTCACGACTAAGTATATATCTTCCGTCCTTTGCAAATTTAATATCTGAGATTGAAGCAATTATCTCTGTGAAAAATGATCTAGAACCAGGCGCCTCTTGTTCCTCAAATCTGTGTACAAAGCATATTAGAGGAAACTGGAAGCAAATTTCTATCATATCCAATAAAATAACTGAAGAGATGCTTTTCCCTGTCTTCCATGAGTAAATGTGTCCAAGCCAATGAAATATCCACTTTTTTTCCCTTCTAGCACAGATGACATTCAAAAAACAAAAACCAACTGAACCACTTACAATTTAGCATGAGAATCACATAAAGCCGATTGTCGCAAATCAATAAGCCGTATTGAGCCTTTAGAACTGCTATATGCTAACGTATTACAATGGGTAGGGTGGAATTCTGCTGATGTTATCACCTCTGCAAAAACAAATAAAAATGGGTAAAAGGTTTCAGCAAGACATCAGTAAAAAAAAAGCATGAACTTAAAAACAAACAATAAAACAAGCAAACCAAAGAAAGAGGGAAAAGAATAGAAAGTTAATAAGGAAATCTATGGAAAAAGAAATGTTAAAAAAAAAAAAAAAGTTTGGCTAGTACAGTGGAAACCAGATTATTCAGGCCTAGCACAAACCAGCTAGCCTGATCAACTCAGTTTCCTACACAAATTCCAACAATCGCCAATTTAGTCCCCAAAGAATTTTAAAAAAAGGACAGGAACAGCGTGAAAAATGTCCAAAAATATGCACAGACAAGAGACACACATGAAAAGGCACAGGGTGAGGACACGAGAAGAAACAAAAGCTTCCATGACAAATCAAAGTACCAGAAATCATATTTCATCAGATCAGAATCCAATAGGAAACCACTGTGAGAAAAAATTCAATACTACCCTAAATACCAAGATATTTTACCAGTTAGATCCTCCATGTTTGCAGGCTTGACATCAACAATATTAAAACTCTGATTGCTAATTTCCAAGTTCCAAAGATTGATGCGCAGGTCATCAGCTGATATAAATGTTTCACCATCACTGTAGTGCAAGACAGAAAGAGGATCAGTATAATCATTCAATCCAATGCCAATAATGAGAGGGGAAGCACACATCACATAATATAACATGCTAGAAAGAGTCAATTCACTACATCGAATGAAGAGGTAAATTTGATGTTCTAAAGAACAAAATAGTGAAAGAATACCCTCAAAGAATGCCCCAATATAAACTCTGAACGACTGAAGTTACTAGCATCAATATTCAAAGATTTAGAAAGGTCAAGCGATTTCTAGGCATCAAAAAGTACATATTGTATATTGGAACATAGAGAGGAAAGAAAAGTAGAGGAAGGCCAGCGACTCCCAGTCCATTTAACATCTTACAAAATACCAGCAGACTTTGAATTTTTTTTATCTGGCTATCCAAACTGCTGAACTCAAGCTCAAATCCTGACCTCATAGAAAAGAAAGGAGCCCTAAGCTAATAATTAAAAAAAATCTAAAATCAAGCAACAAGATACCATGAATAAGTTTAGCTGTTATCACTTGATACTCTTTTCTACGGAAAAAATTTAGTGAATTCTATGTTATGAACGAAAAAGCAAAGGAATTGAAGCACTAATTAGTTATTAATAAGATTTAAACCTAAGACACATCTCAACACCACTTCCATTGCATGTATCTTCCGAGATTAAGCCAATAAAACATTCCAAATGTAAAGCATACAGACTAAAACATCTTCAGAAAGAGTTACAAACTAAATAATATGAGATAAATTTACCTATTGTTTGAGATAGAATTGATATGATAGTCATGAGCATGAGCATATACCCTTCGGCATCTAGCCATTAGGCTAATCTCGTTGCTAGTTACCTGAATAAAAGTTTGAGTCAGTATTGTATGTAATACAACAAGCAGTTCACCGATTGACAACAATAATGGTTATCCAACATGATTTTTTTTTTTCCATTACTAATTAATAAAAGTATTGAAAAAGTAGCATACTCGAGGTGATAAAATCATAAAAAACATATGAAGCTAAGCTAATCACACAGATCATTGATCCACGCCTACCTCAGTTGCAGATTTAAGCCCAAAACTAATTCATTAATATAATGCACTTTATGTAAGGAAAGGCTTTTGCAGGAGTAACTCCTGATTCCCAAGTCTTTTCTTCAGCTTAATTTAACTTTTTAAATGCTGACACATGTTTTTAGGTATGATAAAAATGGCAAAACTGATCCCCCCCAAGAATAACTGGAGCAGTTTAAGTTGCAGAAAATTACACCAATTCTAGATTTATAATCACAGGAAGGAGAATGGACTGGGCTGAGTACAACTACCGTCGGTAAACGTAGTGAAGGAATGCCCCCAGGTGGAATCGAAAATTCATTGCTCAGAGAACTATATGATTTGTCCAGACATCCACCATTTGCAAGATATGGTTTAGGGCTACTAGCATTACTTGAACTAGCAACACTTCCATTTGCTACAGCTTTCAAAGGGTCCAAATTCATGTCAGAAATTTTCTTGACCTTCTTTTCCTGTACCTGTTCAACTCAGACAGATATTGCTAATAAATAAGTAGGCGTAGGGCATAAGCATGCATATACTAGTGTCAAAATATACATGCTTGAAAAATGATCAAACAATAGAAAATGAAAAAAGAATGCGAAAAAATAAGTTAAAAGAAAAGCTGGTGAGAATGAATAAAATTGAAGGTGATACCCTACTTAAATTAAATATTCCTATCACAGTACATCCAGCAGCCTGAAGCTTCAGTAAAAGAATATTAATATAAAGCAATGATGTACACTAGTAACCCAGTCTAGCAAGATTCCAAGCAAACCTCCCTGCAGCTTATACACCTATGTGATCCAAATTCTCATGCACTGATACATTCCCCTTCATAAAGTCTAACACCACATTTTATGCAAGTAACTTCAATCATGTTGCAATACTTTTACAGGAAACTAAACAAAACAATTTTGAATGAAAAGGATATACAAGTGAATCTGCTGTCTGCATAGGAATCAAAGGAATGTTGCTTTTCTATCCACCGTAAGTATTCAAGTACAAAAGCTTTCAATTGTGCAGTTGACAGGTTATAAACTTAGAATCCCTCCAAAAGAACAAGCCCCAGAGAAAACAAAGATACAGAAAACCCACTACATGCAACAAATCTAAACATCAAGGCTCCCAGTGCATGCAAGTTATATTAACTTGAAAACACATGACCATGGATAACAGGTAACCCAAAAATGTGGAGTCGTCAAACTGGATATTCAAGTAGAACAATTGCATGTACTGCTTACATTATATCATACATGAATAAGCAGATACAAAAAGCGGTGGTTTTAGATGCCATATTCCAATTGTTATTAAAAAAATGTCATCTTCTGCACAATCTATAAACAGATTGGGAAAAAATATAGGAAAAGAAAAAGGCAAGAGAAGTAGTTTTTGCTGTTATAAGACCATCCTCCTTACCTTCCAAAATTTGATGGTTTTATCATTAGTAGAAAGGAGAAACAGTGCACCATTGGCTGTTTGGCACCATCTGATCTTGTTGATTTTCTCCTCTATTTCCAAGCTCTTTAGATAGTCAAACTGACATTAAGAAATGCAGACACGGTATGAGTACAAACAATTCAAACTCTGCCGAGTAAACAGAGCATATATATGAATTCAAGCAAGAGTAACAAGCAAAAAAGGATACCTCAGGTTCATGGCTCTGAAACTCGGTTTTGTAACGAAATTCAGGATGCCTAGTTATTGGATAATCCATTCTCTCCAGATCCCTTCTGGATCCTCCATGCTACAAATTGCAGTATAAAATATTTTATTTGTTGTGACAAACAGCAAAAAACAAGGTAATATAACAAAATTAAATCAAAAAAATGAAGCATGAAAGGGAAGAAAGAACCCACATCCTTATTGTCTGTTCGCTCAAAGAGAACCACCCGCCCCCCACGATCACCAGTAGCAAGATGATCGCCAGATTTGTCAAATTCAATTGCTGAAATTATATCAACTGCAGAGAAAAGAAAGGCAGCCAGTTAGAGAAATCCCATCAGACCTTCCAATAAAATAAAGAAATATACAATTGCATTATGATAAGAGAAATACCATCATAATCCTTCGACCAAAATGATGAGTGTAAATTTTCTTTTGTAGGAGATATATTTGATTTACTAGGATATGTGAAAAGTTATATGCTAAAACAGCATTTGCTCAGATGAAGGCCACCTATTATACTGCAAATACAACAACTACCTTTCCTAGTCCCTAGTTATAACTTTTTGTTCATCCCCAAAATATATTTACTATATATATTCTATATATAACAACTGAAGGTTTACACCTTGACATCTCCACCGGTTGTCTGCTTTGTGTCAACTCTTTCTACATAAATACATTGTGAAAACATAATGATGCCACAAAAGAGAGTCTGGCACATTTTCCGGTTTGATAAACTACTTTATTCAAAAACTAAAACACACTATACCAAGAGCACCTGTTCTGAGGATTGCACAGTTCCTCTAGGAGATCAGTCTCAACAAATTCCTGCCTGAAGCTATTACAAGACAGTGAATAAAAATTTCCAGCTCAGTTTGACTGTTCAATAATTCTACTTAAAATATTTCCTACTACCACAATCCTTGGAAAAAGAAAAATTATAGAGATTTGACCCATGGTGGATAAGCACATGCAGGAGGAAGATTATCAACTTAATTGCATTCATCATCTACTTTCTTGAGCACAGGTCTTCAATTCTTCAATGGTTTAACATAGATATCACAGATATAGTTCTTCATCAGAACCCATCTGATGTCAATGATAGGTTTAAAATTTTACATTTTAGTCTAAGTGGTAAAAGCCCTTTAACTTCAACCAAGGGTCAATTGTTCAAATCCCTGGCAACCTACTTGAGATATACGGTATTCAACCTAAATAATCTACTCATTAATGTCTTCTAGGGCTATATCCTCCGTGAAATCTGGAATCATAGTCTACACTCAATATGTTGGCCTACAATTGTTTTGGGAATCATAATATTATTCATGATCCTTCATCACAACTTGTAGCCACTTCTTTTGGAGCCCCATTGCAGTTGATTTCTGTTCCACATTATTTTAGTTCGCTTCCACTGTCTTTTCCTTCATTGGTGATGTCTCATACAGATCACAATCCTCATTCTTGTCCAAGTACAAGATAGTAAAACCCCTTTATTTCGATTTCCACTGATGAAAGAGATTCAACGTAAAACATTATTCCCGAAACGCATATCCAGATTCTCCTCATATGTATGCTAATCAAATCAAACATGGATACAGGCTGAGGTTAAATTATGTCCATAGATTGCACCAAAAGTTATCGCTCCTTAATACATATGATATCAAGATCAGAGATGACTAATCACCACATCCATCCCGATTTCCACAGCAATGCAACAGGTTTCATAAATTGAGCTTACTCATTTATTTCCACATAGTTGTTAGTAAGCACTCAACCCAAAGTATTCTGGGCTTAAACCTTTCTTAACATGAATTAAGTTCAGTTATTGAACTACCAAAATCAAAAACTAATGAACCACTAACAAGTGCTACAACCTCAGTAGCAATGTACATATCCTTTAACCTGAATAATTACAACGGGTGACAGCTACTTAGCTGGTAATACATTCACCATTAGACAACTAACTTGAAACAAAATCCCCAAGCAGACAATAGGGAAAAAAGAACTATCTCCCATGTAGCCAGTAGGTCCTATGCATCACCAATAGTTGCATAACCAAAAAAGAGAAATCTACATGTTATCCTCATTTATAAATCAAGCTAACAAAATACGCTTACACCCATATCACAATTTCAATCAAAATTCCAAAAAATCATAACTTGATGCATGCACTACAATCCCAATGTATCAATTAACAAAACCAAACAAGATCTAAAACATAACTCACAGCTTCAACTTACAAAAACAAAGTGCATGCACTTCATTTCAACACAATACAATCAAACAAAACCAAAACCAAAACAAACCCACAAATCTAAACCCCAATTACTCAATAACCCACGATCCATTTTAGATCCAAAACCCAAAATCAAACCCTAATTGCATCAAACACAAGCTAAACCTAATAGATCCAAAACACATAATAACAACAATACCAATAAACAAATAAAACAAATCAACAAAATAAAAAAATTCACCTTCCTGGACTTCTTCCCCGGCGGTTCGCTCACCGAAGACCTGAGAGAACTTCCACTCGAGCGGCTGCGGTGGAGTCACCGTGATAACCTCTTCACCGCCGTTCATTTCTCTGTTTTGTCCCTTGTTGTTGACCCAAAGTAACCAAAATCAACGGCCAAAGCAAATCAGCAAATCGAAGATCGCATCATTACAGCACCAATGAGATTCCGATTCCTAATTCAACCATTGAACACAACACAACTCAAAACCGAAACAAAAACAAAACTTTATTATTATTATGTTGTGTTGTGTTATGTTATGTTATGTTTTTGTTGTGCCTTGGTTTTTTGCTTCTCTCTCTAGAAAATTAAAATAAAATAAAATAAAATACTTTTTGTCTTAGTTTCTCTCTCTAGGAATTTTTATTTTTATTTATTTATGAAATTTAGAAATTTGGAGTTTTTTTTTTTTTTTCCAAGGGTTAAAACGTTCTTTGGTTCTTTCTTTCTTTTCACCTTTGTTGTTTATGGCATGATATACTAGTGTCAAAATATACATGCTTGAAAAATGCAAACAATAGAAAATGAAAAAGAATGCGAAAAAATAAGTTAAAAGAAAAGCTGGTGAGAATGAATAAAATTGAAGGTGATCCCTACTTAAATTAAATATTCCTATCACAGTACATCCAGCAGCCTAGAGCTTCAGTAAAAGAATATTAATATAAAGCAATGAGTACATAGTAACCCAGTCTAGCAAGATTCCAAGCAAACCTCCCTGCAGCTTATACACCTATGTGATCCAAATCTCAGCACTGATACATTCCCCTTCATAAAGTCTAACACCACATTTTATGCAAGTAACTTCATCGTTGCAATACTTTTACAGGAAACTAAATAAAACAATTTTGAATGAAAAGGATATACAAGTGAATCTGCTGTCTGCATAGGAATCAAAGGAATGTTGCTTTTCTATCCACCGTAAGTATTCAAGTACAAAAGCTTTCAATTGTGCAGTTGACAGGTATAAACTTAGATCCTCCAAAGAACAAGCCCCAGAGAAAACAAAGATACAGAAAACCACTACATGCAACAAATCTAAACATCAAGGCTCCCAGTGCATGCAAGTATATTAACTTGAAAACACATGACCATGGATAAAGGTAACCCAAAATGTGGAGTCGTCAAACGGATATCAAGTAGAACAATTGCATGTACTGCTTACATTATATCATACATGAATAAGCAGATACAAAAAGCGGTGGTTTTAGATGCCATATTCCAATGTGTATTAAAAAATGTCATCTTCTGCACATCTATAACAGATTGGGAAAAAATATAGGAAAGAAAAAGGCAGGAGAAGTAGTTTTTGCTGTTATAAGACCATCCTCCTTACCTTCCAAAATTTGATGGTTTTATCATTAGTAGAAAGGAGAAACAGTGCACCATTGGCTGTTTGGCACCATCTGTCTTGTTGATTTCTCCTCTATTTCCAAGCTCTTAGATAGTCAAACGACATTAAGAAATGCAGACACGTATGAGTACAAACAATTAAACTCTGCCGAGTAAACAGAGCATATATATGAATTCAAGCAAGAGTAACAAGCAAAAAGGTACCTCAGGTCATGGCTCTGAAACTCGTTTGTAACGAAATTCAGGATGCCTAGTTATTGAGATCCATTCTCTCCAGATCCCTTCTGGATCCTCCATGCTACAAATTGCAGTATAAAAATTTTATTTGTTGTGACAAACAGCAAAAAACAAGGTAAATAACAAAATTAAATCAAAAAAATGAAGCATGAAAGGGAAGAAAGAACCCACATCCTTATTGTCTGTCGCTCAAAGAGAACCACCGCCCCCCACGATCACCAGTAGCAAGATGATCGCAGATTTGTCAAATTCAATTGCTGAAATTATATCAATGCAGAGAAAGAAAAGCAGCCAGTTAGAGAAATCCATCAGACCTTCCAATAAAATAAAGAAATATACAATTGCATATGATAAGAGAAATACCATCATAATCCTTCGACCAAAATGATGAGTTAAATTTTCTTTTGTAGGAGATATATTTGATTTACTAGGATATGTGAAAGTTATATCAAAACGCGCCTCTTGTTCCTCAAATCTGTGTACAAAGCATATTAGAGGAAACTGGAAGCAAATTTCTATCATATCCAATAAAATAACTGAAGAGATGCTTTTCCCTGTCTTCCATGAGTAAATGTGTCCAAGCCAATGAAATATCCACTTTTTTTCCCTTCTAGCACAGATGACATTCAAAAAACAAAAACCAACTGAACCACTTACAATTTAGCATGAGAATCACATAAAGCCGATTGTCGCAAATCAATAAGCCGTATTGAGCCTTTAGAACTGCTATATGCTAACGTATTACAATGGGTAGGGTGGAATTCTGCTGATGTTATCACCTCTGCAAAAACAAATAAAAATGGGTAAAAGGTTTCAGCAAGACATCAGTAAAAAAAAAGCATGAACTTAAAAACAAACAATAAAACAAGCAAACCAAAGAAAGAGGGAAAAGAATAGAAAGTTAATAAGGAAATCTATGGAAAAAGAAATGTTAAAAAAAAAAAAAAAGTTTGGCTAGTACAGTGGAAACCAGATTATTCAGGCCTAGCACAAACCAGCTAGCCTGATCAACTCAGTTTCCTACACAAATTCCAACAATCGCCAATTTAGTCCCCAAAGAATTTTAAAAAAAGGACAGGAACAGCGTGAAAAATGTCCAAAAATATGCACAGACAAGAGACACACATGAAAAGGCACAGGGTGAGGACACGAGAAGAAACAAAAGCTTCCATGACAAATCAAAGTACCAGAAATCATATTTCATCAGATCAGAATCCAATAGGAAACCACTGTGAGAAAAAATTCAATACTACCCTAAATACCAAGATATTTTACCAGTTAGATCCTCCATGTTTGCAGGCTTGACATCAACAATATTAAAACTCTGATTGCTAATTTCCAAGTTCCAAAGATTGATGCGCAGGTCATCAGCTGATATAAATGTTTCACCATCACTGTAGTGCAAGACAGAAAGAGGATCAGTATAATCATTCAATCCAATGCCAATAATGAGAGGGGAAGCACACATCACATAATATAACATGCTAGAAAGAGTCAATTCACTACATCGAATGAAGAGGTAAATTTGATGTTCTAAAGAACAAAATAGTGAAAGAATACCCTCAAAGAATGCCCCAATATAAACTCTGAACGACTGAAGTTACTAGCATCAATATTCAAAGATTTAGAAAGGTCAAGCGATTTCTAGGCATCAAAAAGTACATATTGTATATTGGAACATAGAGAGGAAAGAAAAGTAGAGGAAGGCCAGCGACTCCCAGTCCATTTAACATCTTACAAAATACCAGCAGACTTTGAATTTTTTTTATCTGGCTATCCAAACTGCTGAACTCAAGCTCAAATCCTGACCTCATAGAAAAGAAAGGAGCCCTAAGCTAATAATTAAAAAAAATCTAAAATCAAGCAACAAGATACCATGAATAAGTTTAGCTGTTATCACTTGATACTCTTTTCTACGGAAAAAATTTAGTGAATTCTATGTTATGAACGAAAAAGCAAAGGAATTGAAGCACTAATTAGTTATTAATAAGATTTAAACCTAAGACACATCTCAACACCACTTCCATTGCATGTATCTTCCGAGATTAAGCCAATAAAACATTCCAAATGTAAAGCATACAGACTAAAACATCTTCAGAAAGAGTTACAAACTAAATAATATGAGATAAATTTACCTATTGTTTGAGATAGAATTGATATGATAGTCATGAGCATGAGCATATACCCTTCGGCATCTAGCCATTAGGCTAATCTCGTTGCTAGTTACCTGAATAAAAGTTTGAGTCAGTATTGTATGTAATACAACAAGCAGTTCACCGATTGACAACAATAATGGTTATCCAACATGATTTTTTTTTTTCCATTACTAATTAATAAAAGTATTGAAAAAGTAGCATACTCGAGGTGATAAAATCATAAAAAACATATGAAGCTAAGCTAATCACACAGATCATTGATCCACGCCTACCTCAGTTGCAGATTTAAGCCCAAAACTAATTCATTAATATAATGCACTTTATGTAAGGAAAGGCTTTTGCAGGAGTAACTCCTGATTCCCAAGTCTTTTCTTCAGCTTAATTTAACTTTTTAAATGCTGACACATGTTTTTAGGTATGATAAAAATGGCAAAACTGATCCCCCCCAAGAATAACTGGAGCAGTTTAAGTTGCAGAAAATTACACCAATTCTAGATTTATAATCACAGGAAGGAGAATGGACTGGGCTGAGTACAACTACCGTCGGTAAACGTAGTGAAGGAATGCCCCCAGGTGGAATCGAAAATTCATTGCTCAGAGAACTATATGATTTGTCCAGACATCCACCATTTGCAAGATATGGTTTAGGGCTACTAGCATTACTTGAACTAGCAACACTTCCATTTGCTACAGCTTTCAAAGGGTCCAAATTCATGTCAGAAATTTTCTTGACCTTCTTTTCCTGTACCTGTTCAACTCAGACAGATATTGCTAATAAATAAGTAGGCGTAGGGCATAAGCATGCATATACTAGTGTCAAAATATACATGCTTGAAAAATGGTCAAACAATAGAAAATGAAAAATGAATGCGAAAAAATAAGTTAAAAGAAAAGCTGGTGAGAATGAATAAAATTGAAGGTGATACCCTACTTAAATTAAATATTCCTATCACCGTACATCCAGCAGCCTGAAGCTTCAGTAAACGAATATTAATATAAAGCAATGATGTACACTAGTAACCCAGTCTAGCAAGATTCCAAGCAAACTTCCCTGCAGCTTATACACCTATGTGATCCAAATTCTCATGCACTGATACATTCCCCTTCATAAAGTCTAACACCACATTTTATGCAAGTAACTTCAATCATGTTGCAATACTTTTACAGGAAACTAAACAAAACAATTTTGAATGAAAAGGATATACAAGTGAATCTGCTGTCTGCATAGGAATCAAAGGAATGTTGCTTTTCTATCCACCGTAAGTATTCAAGTACAAAAGCTTTCAATTGTGCAGTTGACAGGTTATAAACTTAGAATCCCTCCAAAAGAACAAGCCCCAGAGAAAACAAAGATACAGAAAACCCACTACATGCAACAAATCTAAACATCAAGGCTCCCAGTGCATGCAAGTTATATTAACTTGAAAACACATGACCATGGATAACAGGTAACCCAAAAATGTGGAGTCGTCAAACTGGATATTCAAGTAGAACAATTGCATGTACTGCTTACATTATATCATACATGAATAAGCAGATACAAAAAGCGGTGGTTTTAGATGCCATATTCCAATTGTTATTAAAAAAATGTCATCTTCTGCACAATCTATAAACAGATTGGGAAAAAATATAGGAAAAGAAAAAGGCAAGAGAAGTAGTTTTTGCTGTTATAAGACCATCCTCCTTACCTTCCAAAATTTGATGGTTTTATCATTAGTAGAAAGGAGAAACAGTGCACCATTGGCTGTTTGGCACCATCTGATCTTGTTGATTTTCTCCTCTATTTCCAAGCTCTTTAGATAGTCAAACTGACATTAAGAAATGCAGACACGGTATGAGTACAAACAATTCAAACTCTGCCGAGTAAACAGAGCATATATATGAATTCAAGCAAGAGTAACAAGCAAAAAAGGATACCTCAGGTTCATGGCTCTGAAACTCGGTTTTGTAACGAAATTCAGGATGCCTAGTTATTGGATAATCCATTCTCTCCAGATCCCTTCTGGATCCTCCATGCTACAAATTGCAGTATAAAATATTTTATTTGTTGTGACAAACAGCAAAAAACAAGGTAATATAACAAAATTAAATCAAAAAAATGAAGCATGAAAGGGAAGAAAGAACCCACATCCTTATTGTCTGTTCGCTCAAAGAGAACCACCCGCCCCCCACGATCACCAGTAGCAAGATGATCGCCAGATTTGTCAAATTCAATTGCTGAAATTATATCAACTGCAGAGAAAAGAAAGGCAGCCAGTTAGAGAAATCCCATCAGACCTTCCAATAAAATAAAGAAATATACAATTGCATTATGATAAGAGAAATACCATCATAATCCTTCGACCAAAATGATGAGTGTAAATTTTCTTTTGTAGGAGATATATTTGATTTACTAGGATATGTGAAAAGTTATATGCTAAAACAGCATTTGCTCAGATGAAGGCCACCTATTATACTGCAAATACAACAACTACCTTTCCTAGTCCCTAGTTATAACTTTTTGTTCATCCCCAAAATATATTTACTATATATATTCTATATATAACAACTGAAGGTTTACACCTTGACATCTCCACCGGTTGTCTGCTTTGTGTCAACTCTTTCTACATAAATACATTGTGAAAACATAATGATGCCACAAAAGAGAGTCTGGCACATTTTCCGGTTTGATAAACTACTTTATTCAAAAACTAAAACACACTATACCAAGAGCACCTGTTCTGAGGATTGCACAGTTCCTCTAGGAGATCAGTCTCAACAAATTCCTGCCTGAAGCTATTACAAGACAGTGAATAAAAATTTCCAGCTCAGTTTGACTGTTCAATAATTCTACTTAAAATATTTCCTACTACCACAATCCTTGGAAAAAGAAAAATTATAGAGATTTGACCCATGGTGGATAAGCACATGCAGGAGGAAGATTATCAACTTAATTGCATTCATCATCTACTTTCTTGAGCACAGGTCTTCAATTCTTCAATGGTTTAACATAGATATCACAGATATAGTTCTTCATCAGAACCCATCTGATGTCAATGATAGGTTTAAAATTTTACATTTTAGTCTAAGTGGTAAAAGCCCTTTAACTTCAACCAAGGGTCAATTGTTCAAATCCCTGGCAACCTACTTGAGATATACGGTATTCAACCTAAATAATCTACTCATTAATGTCTTCTAGGGCTATATCCTCCGTGAAATCTGGAATCATAGTCTACACTCAATATGTTGGCCTACAATTGTTTTGGGAATCATAATATTATTCATGATCCTTCATCACAACTTGTAGCCACTTCTTTTGGAGCCCCATTGCAGTTGATTTCTGTTCCACATTATTTTAGTTCGCTTCCACTGTCTTTTCCTTCATTGGTGATGTCTCATACAGATCACAATCCTCATTCTTGTCCAAGTACAAGATAGTAAAACCCCTTTATTTCGATTTCCACTGATGAAAGAGATTCAACGTAAAACATTATTCCCGAAACGCATATCCAGATTCTCCTCATATGTATGCTAATCAAATCAAACATGGATACAGGCTGAGGTTAAATTATGTCCATAGATTGCACCAAAAGTTATCGCTCCTTAATACATATGATATCAAGATCAGAGATGACTAATCACCACATCCATCCCGATTTCCACAGCAATGCAACAGGTTTCATAAATTGAGCTTACTCATTTATTTCCACATAGTTGTTAGTAAGCACTCAACCCAAAGTATTCTGGGCTTAAACCTTTCTTAACATGAATTAAGTTCAGTTATTGAACTACCAAAATCAAAAACTAATGAACCACTAACAAGTGCTACAACCTCAGTAGCAATGTACATATCCTTTAACCTGAATAATTACAACGGGTGACAGCTACTTAGCTGGTAATACATTCACCATTAGACAACTAACTTGAAACAAAATCCCCAAGCAGACAATAGGGAAAAAAGAACTATCTCCCATGTAGCCAGTAGGTCCTATGCATCACCAATAGTTGCATAACCAAAAAAGAGAAATCTACATGTTATCCTCATTTATAAATCAAGCTAACAAAATACGCTTACACCCATATCACAATTTCAATCAAAATTCCAAAAAATCATAACTTGATGCATGCACTACAATCCCAATGTATCAATTAACAAAACCAAACAAGATCTAAAACATAACTCACAGCTTCAACTTACAAAAACAAAGTGCATGCACTTCATTTCAACACAATACAATCAAACAAAACCAAAACCAAAACAAACCCACAAATCTAAACCCCAATTACTCAATAACCCACGATCCATTTTAGATCCAAAACCCAAAATCAAACCCTAATTGCATCAAACACAAGCTAAACCTAATAGATCCAAAACACATAATAACAACAATACCAATAAACAAATAAAACAAATCAACAAAATCAAAAAATTCACCTTCCTGGACTTCTTCCCCGGCGGTTCGCTCACCGAAGACCTGAGAGAACTTCCACTCGAGCGGCTGCGGTGGAGTCGCCGTGATAACCTCTTCACCGCCGTTCATTTCTCTGTTTTGTCCCTTGTTGTTGACCCAAAGTAACCAAAATCAACGGCCGAAGCAAATCAGCAAATCGAAGATCGCATCATTACAGCACCAATGAGATTCCGATTCCTAATTCAACCATTGAACACAACACAACTCAAAACCGAAACAAAAACAAAACTTTATTATTATTATGTTGTGTTGTGTTATGTTATTTTATGTTTTTGTTGTGCCTTGGTTTTTTGCTTCTCTCTCTAGAAAAATAAAATAAAATAAAATAAAATACTTTTTGTCTTAGTTTCTCTCTCTAGGAATTTTTATTTTTATTTATTTATGAAATTTAGAAATTTGGAGTTTTTTTTTTTTTTTCCAAGGGTTAAAACGTTCTTTGGTTCTTTCTTTCTTTTCACCTTTGTTGTTTATGTAAGCATTTGTGTTTATGTGTTCCTATCAATAATGGAATTTTTTATTTTTTTTATTTTTTGGGGTTTATGATAGAGTAACATATGATGGGTTTGGATGGTATGACAGACGGGTTTGATTGGTTTATTGGTGGTGAGTTAGCAAGTTGTGGGGATGATTCATGAGGATTGAAGATATTAAAAAAATATAATAATATCTAAATCCAGGTATTATTAAATAATATATGACATTATTTTATTAAACGAGATACATAAAATTATATGAATATGAAATGTAATGTATGAGATAATAAATTTAATAATCTTTGATCAATATATTTGATTACATAGTGAAGACAATATGATCGCATGTGTTTATTACATAATTGTATTGTTTGATCGCTTTAAATTTATGTATAATTCTCCGTGAGTTAATATATTGATTTAGTAATGGTACCCAATCAATTTTAATACAAAATTAATGATATTTCATATTATCATATAATATTCTTGCATATAAAAAGTACTTATTCTCTATAGCCAAAAATTAATATGAAGAGTGTCATAACCATACACAATTATAGAATTAGTAATAAAGTTTTTTCAAAAAGTAGTGTAAAGTACAAGATTTGGGAATCAAATTCAATCAATAGATTTACTATTATTTTCGCAAAAAAATGTGATAGGAACCTATTGTCAAATCGAACGTTTTTTTTAGGGTTTATATTCTTCCACATTTCAAAAACAGAAAATCTCATCGCCTTAAAATGGTATACGAAATATTTTTATAAAAAGTATATAATATTTTTCTGATAATCATGGGTACGTTTCGAATCAATTGATCTTAGATAAGTATGCGGAATAAATTTATTGTTTAATTAGCAATCATCATTAAGCGAATAATTAGTTGAAAAAAAAGGGTTAATTGGTCAGGCTAATATCACCATAGTCTAACCAAGTTATAATTAAAAAAGTTGACAAAATGACACTAAACTTTCTAGCCTTTCAAATCAAACAAATACAACCAGAGTGAATAACACTAACCCCCATTAAGAGGAGAAGAAAAAAGGGGAAATGAAGTCATGAAGGAGATTAATAGGTGAGTTGAATTTTATATAGTATTGTTTTGGCTTTGGCTTTGGCTTTGCCTTGTTTAATATTATCTATTTACTCAAAAGTCACAAAAAGGTGAAGCTTTACAGTCAGCTAATTTAGCTTCTTCTCTGTGTTTCTGATACCATCACCAAATTTTCTACTGTTTCATGGGGTCCAGCACCCACATCTCAGTGAATCTATGGGCCTANAGGGGAAATGAAGTCATGAAGGAGATTAATAGGTGAGTTGAATTTTATATAGTATTGTTTTGGCTTTGGCTTTGGCTTTGCCTTGTTTAATATTATCTATTTACTCAAAAGTCACAAAAAGGTGAAGCTTTACAGTCAGCTAATTTAGCTTCTTCTTTGTGTTTCTGATACCATCACCAAATTTTCTACTGTTTCATGGGGTCCAGCACCCACATCTCAGTGAATCTATGGGCCTACAAATGGGCCTAGCAGCAAGATTTGGGCTGAGCCCAATGGGCTTTTAGCTGCTTGACAAGAAGTGAACCCAGTTGTGAATTGAGTCCCTTTTGGGGGATTTTGGATGGGTTTGACCTAGAGGATGAAAGGCAACATCTCACTTGGTCCCATTTGTTGCCAAAGGCCCAAAACTCAGTTGGTATTTATAGATGTTTTAGACGTCGGAAAGGATACAGTCATCGAAGGTTATACATCGAATGACATGGTAAAATCCTGACAATTATCACGTCATTCGGTGCATGAATTCGGTGTACTACTTCGGTGACTGTAGCATTACTCTTTAGACTTTTAGGTAATATTTGAGATGGTATTATCGGAAAAAAATTAATGTTACACACCCCAAGTTGTATCGGAAATTTTCTTATTTGAGTGATGTAGCATTGTGTATTTTATTATTATATCAACCCATCGTTCATATCACATGTCCGTGTCATAAAATAAAAAATAAAATAAAAATTGAAAAATTTGGGAACAGTTAGGGCGATATGTTATATAATAACAAAGTAATGTAGCATCTTACAGTATCACTTATTTTATCGGCTCATGATTACATGTCAACGTCATAGGAAAAAAAAAGAAAAGAGAAAACGAACAATTTAGGATATGGTTCGAAAGAGTTGTATAACGTTAATTATTCTAAAAAAAAAAAAAAAAAAAAAAAAAAAAAAAAAAAAAAAAAAAGCTACACGAAATAGATAATTTTCTCTAAAGAAGGTTATCTCTCTTGTTGTATATTTATATTGTATGATTCTTCCTAATGCATCATCTGAGTACTCTTCCCCAATAAAAAAACTTATCCCATATGCATCATCTCTCTTAAATTTTAGACATTTGTAGAGAGACTAATTGATTATATAAAGCAACCCATTTTGTCTTCAATCAAGGTTCAATCTCTTTTTCAATGAAAACGATTCCTCATAGGGTAGGCCATTAAACAAATATATATACAGAATTTATATTTGTAGCTAGAAAGATACTGTCTCAGCAAGAGATTTAAAGCCTCCACTAGTTAATTAATCCTCAACCATGTGAGGCCTAACTTTAAAATAATGAGCAAAACTGAGATAGATTGAATCACAGAACATGCCAGAAACAACACTATATATATATAAACATTTATCTTTTATGCCCAAATGGAATGCACACACAAAAGTAGCTTTTGGACGATTAGCTATGGCAAAAAGTTTATTATTAATAAGTTAGTGCGCACCTCAATTAATCTTTTAAGATCTTAGAATTACAGGTTGGGGTAAAGCTCCAGTGGTCATCCCTATTAGAGGTCGTGGGGACTCGAACTCGAAAGAGCATATTAGATCTGACTCTTACTCTTTTACCATCAATGATACTCGAACTTAGGAGACCGTATTATATCTTTCTTTACTCTTTTATCATTAGACCGCCCAGTGGTCGTTAGTTTATTATTACTTTGCCTACCTAAGTTAGCTTTGCTTGGCTCCAAATTGATTGCTATTAACACTTATTTTAGCCAGTGTTTTGAAAATTGGACTGGACTGGTTTGACGGAGAACCGGTGTCATCTCCTGTCCAATTTCCCCTGGAAACCGTTATCTTAATCAAACCGAATTGAGCCGTGGTTGGACCCGGAAATGTATCGAATCACGGTCCAATCGCAAGTCAATCCTACGGTTCTGGCATCGTGCGAGGGAGATAACACTACCATAAGACCTGGGGGCATCTCCATGACAAAACCCATCCATTTCAGTGGCCACCGTCCAGCCTTTCGTCGTTCGCCATGGCCACCTATTGTTCACGCAACCGTCGGTCTTCCTTCTTGATTCCAGCGAATTCCGACGCCATTAGAACTCCTGACACCACCATAAGATTTGTTGGCACCTCTACATCAAAAGCCCCATCATTTCAAACTTCAATTGGCCGTCGATCGCTGTCCACCTTTTGTTCACGCAACTGTCAACCTTCCTTCTTGATTTCGGCGTCGTTAGAACTCCCTAACAACAACCATAAGAGTTGTCGGCAACTATACATCAAAAGCCCTATCATTCCAAACTTCGATTGGCCGTCGATTATCACTGCCACCCACAACTCGCCAGTCTCTTTGGTGATAGGGGTGTTTTGGATAGATTTTAAACCTTTGAGACTCATGCATAATTATTTAGGGGTGTTTTTGATGAATTTCAAATATTTAGGAATAAAAAGTTTTTACAGGATACGGTCCGACCGATCAATCCAACCGGTCAAACTGGGAACTAGATCCTGAATGGGTCAAGACCCGGTCCGGTTTTCAGAACATTGATTTTAGCAACGTTGAGGCACAAAGTGAGGACATTTAAGTGAGAAGATTTATAAACTATGTATGATAGATTGATAGTGGGCAAATTTGATGAACGACCTAATATGCTGAGTAATATCCTGTCTGTCAAAGAAAATGGGAAACACATCAAGCATCAAAGAACAATAAAATATTCTTATAAGTATGTGTTAGCATATGATTCCGTAATACAATTCCTTCCTCGTGGACATATGCTTTCCAAACAGCCTCAAAGGTGCAATATGGATATTCTTGAAAAGGGTTTACGGTGTGATTGCATGACAAGCAAAGAAAAAAAAATGTATTTTTACTTTTATTTGGAATTTGTGAAAAATTTGATTATCGAGAAGATTGGACATATATATATATATATGGAAAAGCTAAATCACAAGCAGTGTTTCTATTTTTTGGTCTAGCCAACGGCATAAAAAGATGGAGCCGGCTTTCTTCAATTCTGGTCAAAAAATTGTGTTGTGTTATTGTGAAGTTGCTAAAAATCAGCCGAATTTAACACAAGTAGAATGAGTTTGAGTTTATAAGGAGATAAGTCATGATAGAATTTGAGGTAAGACTCATTTTATATATAAGCCTTGTTGAATGAGAAAATTATCTCATTTATAAACCAATAAGCTGAGCGTGTTAATCAGTGCGAGACTCCAACACTTCCTCACGGTCAAGTCCATATGTTGGGTCATGCATGTTGGTCAAGCACTCAGTCAACTTGACCCAACTCTGATACCACGATAGATAGAATTTGAGGTGGGTTTGACTCCTCACCCAATAAGGTTTGTTGAATGAGAGAGGATTACATCAGTAATAGGCTTGAGCGTGCCTAATCAGCGTGCGATTTCAAGAATTCACTCTGTATAAAAGAATAGTTTTATGCCCAAAAAAAAAAAAAAAAAAAAAAAAAAAATTCTTAAGAGGCAGACCAGCAATCATGGACAGAAAGCAAATAAAGGCCAAAGTTCTCGTGACATTTGGATGTGCTTGTAATATTATGCAACTTTTAGGTACTCACGTTATGCAGAATGACAAATGTTGTTAACTACTTTGCAGAAAAAAATCATTTAATTTTCTAGATTGTAAACACCTCCCAAGCTTGATCTCCGGTTCCAGCAAAACCAACTGGAAAAGAGAAGAAATCCATTCTTATTTTGGTCTTGCTTGTGCCATTCTCCATTCTTCTAGCACTTTTGGTGAACCGTCAAGATATTGCCAACATTTTTTAAAGGTCTTTCACTGAAAACACGTTTTAAGGATAAAAGAATATATGAAACTTATTAGGTTCTTCATAATGCTACAATTGGGTATACGATACATCTTTTCTTTCGTTTTTTTTTTCACGCAGAAGATTGAGCTTTATTATTCCAGATATCAAGATATGGAAGCCCATGTTGTTAAGTATCAAACATATTTTTCTTTTAAACAAAATAAAACGGCATGGATAAATAAAGCACAGAATAATAATATACGTAAGAAGCTCAATGGGATGACTCAAAGACACCACCAACTCACAGAACATAAGGGGAGCCATATAGCACATGATTCTTCTTGGAAGAAGCAAGAATCAAATCCTGTAAGATTATACGAGAATAACAACAAATTCAACCAGAATCAATGCCTAGGAGTAGGGTAAAGTATAATTTCTGCACTGTTTATAGGAAATAGTAGACCTAACCAAGTTGAATATAAATTAACCTGTAACCAAACAAATGTCCTCACTGTTTGGAGCTTAGTTGTATCATTTATTGTCCGAATTATTATTTCAATATCTATTTATTGTTAATGTTTATCCGATGTGTTGTTAGTCTATTAAGTAGTCCGAAAAGTAGGACCAAATCATTAAAATTGAAATTTATAGCAATAGAATCAATGATTTCATTGATTATAAACTACCTCTAACTAGTGTTTGATAGAGATTTTGGGTGTTTACCAAAAGGTCTTGAATTCCTTTTTTAATACTAATAAAAATGTTACTAAAACTCTTATCTAGTTGGTAATTCCAAAGGATGGGAGAGGTGGCGGTCAAAAAAAAAAGAAAAAAAGATTTCCCAAATTAAAACTTGTGTTTTGGATATTTGAAGAAAGATATATTTATATCGGGGAGTGCCTCTCATTAATACCCAACAAGACCTTCTTAAAAAGGATTTGAGTGCTTATGGTACTCAAAAAAAAAAAAAAAAAAGATACATTTTGGAAATTGTTGAAATCATACATTAACTCATTTAGAAACATAAATTTATTGGTTTAAAGTTAGGCAAATCCATTAATAAATCATCAAAAACTCGAATTCTATTTGGCCAAGGAACTGGGCTTCATTGAAATAAAAATTATCAAAGCTCAGCAGCCAGAGAAAATACTAGGAATCAACCCTGGAGGAGCTATCCACAGGATATTCCAATAAATGTGAAGTGGATATCACAGGCGGCCAAATTAATTAAATCCTGAAGAATATTCTTTGTTCCGCGTTTCAGGATGTGATAGCTTGACCTCCCAACAAAAAGTTAAAGCTAGTCCGTAAATAAATCAAATACAATTAGACCCATTTGACCCTTCGATCTCCTGACCACAGCCAGCCAACAACTTTGGTCAAATCAAGGTCACCAAATCAGAACGGCTAGCATAAAGTTGTAACAATAATTCATAAGTTGTAACAATTGTTTATTTAATCAAAGCTTATTCTAGATTGATCAACAGCATTGAGTACTAGTTTGGCCTCCTTTTTTTTAACAGTTTCACGTAATATTCCTTTGGCATAACCCATGATTCTTTAGGATTGCGCCCACTTTTCTGAGTATAAATAGCCCCCTCTGATTTTCCCTGTAATATATCAAAAACTTGTTCGTTCTAGTCTGGTTTTGTACAAGAGAAAATCTCTTTTCTTTGCAGTTTGCAGTAGTGAAATCAATGGCTGGCATTGTTGTTGTCTTCGATTTTGATAAGACCATTATCGACGTCGATAGCGATAATTGGGTTGTTGATGGGTTGGGAGCTACAGAGTTGTTCAATCAACTCCTCCCGACCATGCCCTGGAACTCTCTCATGGTAAGTGAACTTTCAGTTTCTGGTAAATTTTGTTTGTTTTCTGGAATGTTTCAGCTCAAAGTTTTTACTTCTTGTTTGAATATTTCCAGGATAGGATGATGGACGAGCTTCATGCTCAAGGCAAGACTATTGAAGATGTTGTTGAGGTTCTGAAACGGATTCCTATTCATCCCAGGATTGTCCCAACCATTAAAGCAGCCCGTGATTTAGGGTAAAATAAGACCCTTAATTTTCCAATTCGTGGACATAAATTCTGTGTCTTTCATTTGTTATAATCGTTTTTTTTTTTTCAGGTGTGATTTGAGGATTGTTAGTGATGCTAATCTGTTCTTCATTGAAACAATCTTGGAGCATCTTGGGATCAGGGATTGTTTCTCTGAGATTAACACTAATCCCGGCTTTGTAGATGAAGAAGGGAAGCTCAGAATTTCCCCTTACCATGACTTCACCATTTCTGCTCATGGCTGCAATCTCTGCCCTCCAAATATGTGCAAGGTATTTGACAATTTTAATGTTCTGTAAATCTTCTGTCAAAATTAATTTGAGAAGTTAATTTTGATGAGAAAGATAAAGAGAAATCTAGATTTGGTTTAGTGTTTATATACGAAGCTTCTAAGTTTGGTTCAAATTCTAGAGAAAGTGTCACATGTGACATTCGAGACTTTAATTTGAATAATCAATTAATTAATTACTTCTAAGTTTGACCTAATCAAATTAAACAATCTTTGATTATCTGTTGTCAGCTTATTGTCTTTTATGACCCCACTTGATGTTGTCATTTCTTACATATTAATTGACAATTGAATTTGATCAACAGGGTTTGATTATTGAGAGGATCCAGGCTTCTCTGGCAAAGGATGGCAGCAATAAAAAGATAATCTATCTTGGAGATGGCAGTGGTGATTACTGTCCAACCTTGAAGCTTGAGGAGAGAGATCATGTCATGCCAAGGAAGAACTTCCCAGTTTGGGATCTGATTTGCCGGAATCCGATGCTCGTAAAGGCGGAGATTCATGGCTGGACTGATGGTGAAGATCTTGAGAAAATTCTTCTACAACTTATCAATTCAATTTCTGCTGAAGAAAGCAATAACAACACTGCTCAAATGATTTCTGGAGATTGCAAGATACAAATAATATCAGCTGCTGCTGCACATGAAACCTTGCCACAAGCTCTCCCAGTTCCCCAATAATTACAGGATAATTTTCGTTTCAGGCTGATGCAATTATGCTAGCAATGGCGCACAAAAATGTGTAGCATTGCCCATAAGAACGTAAATTTTTAGTCTTGTGACTTCTTCTTCTTGTCAATTCTGCCAGGAAATACAAATGGGTACTGAAGTTTAAAAGCTTTATTTACCCCAATTATCTCACTTCAATTTCTAATTCTCCATTCTCTCTTTCTTTTTTTTTTTTTTTTTTTTTGGGGGGGGGAGAAGGGGAGTGTGGTGTAATTAAGGTTTAAATAGGAAAATAAAAAAAATTGTAAAAAAAGGCCTATAAAGGCCACTATCCTACCATAGGACAAACCTTTAGGAGGATTAAAAACAAAAGTCTAACAAAGACAAAAGAGTTATATAAGATACTAAAAAAAATTGTAAAAAAAGGCATATAAAGGCCGCTGTCTGACCATAGGACAAACCTTTAGGAGGATTAAAAACAAAAGTCTAACAAAGACAAAAGAGTTATATAAGATACTATCTCCCAATGTACATCTTACCACAGGACAAATCCTGGGTTAAGACGAAACTAAAGCTTATACAAGATCATCTCCATACCATACACAAGACAACCATCACCAAATCAAATCCAAGCAACAAAAAATCACCCTTTAAAAATGCCCCCAATCCTGAGCAAGACGCCACTCTTTTGATCCGGAGTAATTGCATTTACCCCTGGTTTAGTCCACTAGTCCAATTCCTGCCCCTTGATTGTAACAGCTTGATTCCTGTTCTTTTTATCGTGGCTTAATTATAACAGCTGTTAAAGGAGAAATATAGACCATCCAAGATCTAGACTATAATTGATCATATTCTCAGGTCTTTCTCTGTTTTGATATGGGATTAATTTGTTTTCTTAAATTTGGTCACCAAACTTCATAAAATACACACTCAAATTTGAAGCCCCACCAAAGTTCTCGAGGATTGTTATGGCAGGAATGAAATTTGGAAACAGTAAAAGAATTCTTGTCAGGTTATAATCATCATCCACAAGTTCATTGAACTGGAAAAAGATATCGGTGGAGAAGGAGGCCCAAAGTGACAAGCACAATGTGTAATCTATATTGTTGAACATATGGCTTAACTGAAGCCACTATTAAATTGCTGGAATTTTTGTCTCTTGGTTAACAAAATAGAGTGGCCACCACCATTTTTTGTTGTCTTCTTTAAGAGAAATGTAAACCTCTGCTTTACTTTAAAATGGGGCCTGTCTTCCTGATGGTAAAAACAGTGACAGGTTATTCGAATATTGGAATAGTTATGAGAATGACTAAAGTTATACTATGATCTTTTAGTAACGTTTTATAGAATATCCTTTTTAGTAACATTACCATTAACAATAAATCAAAGTAAAGACATTAGATTTAATCTTGAACAATTCTAGTTAATAGCAATTTAATTGAATATATTTTATCATTTATTCATATACATGCATTATTTTATTATTTTTTTTGGTAATTAGGGGTGTTTGGACTAATTCGTGCATACCTCTCAACTAATCTCTCGGGGTCTTGAAATTGATAGCCGGATAAATCCTCTTAGTGGTCATCCCTATTAGTAGATCAAATTTAAGTCCTCTTGAATAATACACCCAAGAGTCTTAGTTGACCGCTGGACCACTCACCCGCTGGGCAATTTAATTGAATATAATTTATCATTTGTTCATATGAATGCATTATTATCGTTAGATTATTGTTATTGATTTGATATTTTAACCATTAAAATAGTTGATAAATTTTAAGACGTTTAACAATATATTAGCTGTATTACTCAAAAGGTTCTAAGTTTGAGTCATTCCTCAATTGCTAATAGAGGTAGTTAGCCACTGAAACTCTTACCCAGCCAATAGTTCTAAGATCCCGTAGGAATAGTTAAGGTGCGCGTAAGCTAATCCGGACACCCCTAGTAATAATAATAATAATAAATAATAAAAAACAAAATATATTAGCTCAACATATATAGTTGATGGTCTTTTCTTTTCCCCTTTTCACTTTTTCTTTGGAACTTGAGATTGTTGTTCTTTTTTAATGTTATATTCACAAAGACATATAATTAACCATGATAGAAACATACAAATCTCCCATTTGACTATAAAAAATTGTGTGAAACAAACTTTAGACGTGGAAGTGTTGAGGATGTCAATACGTCCAGAAATATAGCCGATCAAACAGACAAAGACAAGGTAAAATATTCGATAGATGATATAAATCTCATTGTGCATGCAATGTCTTTCATTTAGCTAAAAGCTCCAGCTGGTTCTGAGAAAAGGCGCCACTGTAAATTGAAAAAAGATTAATGGAGCCAGTAGCCACCAAGGAGGACTGCACAAGTCATAAAGCTTGTGCCATCATAACCATTGAAATAATTTTATTAATGTCTTCTGTTAACTGCAGCCTCCACGCATTTGAAACTTCAAAGTATCTTCTTTAATTTACCACATGCCAGTAGTCTATTTGCAGCTTTAGTTTTTGACCTTCATATTCGTCACCCATTTAAATGAACTATAAATTTTAATTTTTAAGTAATTAAATTCTGAACATCCTACAAGCCCTTAAAGGTGGAACAATTTGGATGATTCCCAATTTTTGTTTAAGTTCATAAATGACCTAAGAAAAAACTTACAAAAAATATTATATATAACTACTCCAATAAATAGATAATTCAATGATAAAAAGTGAGCAATGTGTGACTTTGAAGTCTAAAAATGGGTACCAAATTTTGTAATATTCCTGTGAATATATCATATCGTTAAAATATTGATAATTGAGAATGAGTGCATGCAATTAAAAGTTCTAGGAAGCATCATATAGTTTATTTTTTTGGCCAAAAAGGACCATAGAATTAGAATGACACATGCATTCAAAATTCAGGTATGATATATTGACCTATTTCCAAAATCACAGACCTATCAAATCTATAAATACCGTCAATATCTCAGGTGGTTAAAACCCTAAAATATACACATAAACCATTTACAAGATCAAAAACCCTCTTCTCATCACCTGAAAACAGCTTTTCTCCATCCAAAAATGGCAGGAATTGTAGTGGTTTTTGATTTTGATAAGACGATTATCGACTGCGACAGTGATAACTGGGTGATTGACGAGTTAGGTGCCACTGAATTGTTCAATCAACTGCTCCCTACCATGCCCTGGAACTCCCTCATGGTTAGTCCATATTACATGCTTGATCTTTATTGGTTTCGTTCAAGGTAATTTTCTTTTAAGACTGAACTGAATTAATGTTATTTTATGTGCAAAAACTTGCAGGATAGAATGATGAAAGAGCTTCATGACCTAGGCAAAACGATTGAGGATATTACAGAAGTTCTGAAACGAACTCCTATACATCCCAGGAATATTCCGGCCATTAAGTCAGCTCATGACTTAGGGTAATTAATTAAATTTATATATAAATTATTTCCATCTCTCTTTCAATCTGTTAAGCTGTGAACTACTTAATTAACAAGTTTATTAATGAATAAATTGATTTGGTGGCAATGGTGTAACTTTCAGGTGTGATTTGAAGATAGTAAGCGATGCAAATACGTTCTTCATTGAGACATTTTTGAAGCATCATGGGATATGGGAATTGTTCTCAGAGATTCACACGAACCCCAGTTTTGTTGACGATGAAGGGAGGCTGAGGATTTTCCCTCACCATGACTTTACCAATACCAAATCTCCTCTTGACTGCAATACCAATCTTTGCCCTCCAAACATGTGCAAGGTGATTTTTCAATTTATTCAATATTAACATAAATAGCCAATAATATTTATAACTATTTAAAGATTCCTGAAAACATACATACCATTTAAGATACAAAATCCCTTGAATCTCCTTAAAGATCACGAAGAATAAGTTAAAAAGTGAGTATTATAATTAATCTCATATAATACACTTTTTTTCTTCTTAGTACGAGTTTAGTCCGTGCAGTGCATACTATGATGACATTATATGTTTGTTTTTAAAGAGTTAGGTGGATTAATGATCCAATATATAGATCGGATCTAAACACATGGGAACTTAATATCTTCAACTCCTGCTTTCAGATTTTGACACAGAGAACCGAATGTGGCACCATTACTTAATTATTTTAACCACTTCATCTGTTTTATTCTGAACCCTATTAAGTTAATTTAGAGTTTTAGATCCCACTTGGATTAATCAAATGAGGGTCATGACAAAATCACAGGCAGTCATTAGTTTCTTTTAGCTAACTCTAGTTTGAATTTTACAGGCCATGGTGATAGAGAAAATTCAAGCTTGTAATACAGACAAAAAGTTCATCTATCTTGGAGATGGAATTGGGGATTTCTGCCCAAGTTTGAAGCTAAAAAACGGAGACTATTTGATGCCAAGGAAGAACTTCCCAGTTTGGGACTTGATATGCAAAAATCAAAAGCTAATAAAGGCTGAAATACATCAGTGGAGTGATGGACAAGAGATGGAACATGTGTTAATTCGCCTTATCAAGGCCATCTCCACTGAAGAAACCAACAATGGTGATTCCACTCAAATAGTTTCAGTTAAGTTGCAGACAATTCCAGTCACTGCCCATTAAGCCCTAGCTTGATTTCATGAGGATCATCAGGCTCATCCTGGCTAGTTCATTATTATTATCATTATTTTATTATAAAGCTATGATTTAACGTGTCACATTTTGGTTTGTTTTAGCCTTAGGATTTTTTTTATTTTTACTTTGACCTTGTAAACTAATGATGTTTGTTGTTGAATAATATATGAAGTAATTGAATGAAAATACAAATTTAGGAGAAGAAAATAGAGAAAAAAGATCAACAAAGAATAAATTTCCCTGAAGAGCATAAATATATAAGTTAAGGCACCTGACTTTAAACCATGAGTTGTGGTCTAATTGCTAATTGGACTTCTAACAGGTGAAATTTACCTGTAATATTAAGAGTTTAAATCTCACCGAAAACAACCTGTGGTCAGGGCATTTACTTGAACCCTAATCAAGAATTAGTCTCATACCTTTGGGTGTGGGTACATCTCAAGGCTTTCACCAAAAAAACAAAAATTAGCCCAAAAGCTTACGATAAAAAAGACAAGCAAAAGATATGTAGTGGATACGTATAGAATTGCTACATATCTAGATTAGTCTGGCCCTAATTATTTGTTGTCACGTAACAACTTGCAATGTTTCTTCTCCATGAAGTCAAATGTTTTCAATATTATCGGATCGATTTTTATATATATATGCAGCTGTGTGGAAGTTCCACGACAAAATGTTCAAATGAGAGAGAAAATGGATCACCGCATGCAAGCTCCTCCACTAGGAATATTATCTTGAAAAGGGTTGTTTGCTTTTGTTGTGTTGTGTGTCCTTTAGTATTATGGTTATTCTTCATGGAAGTACTTTACCAAAAAGTGATTTCAGAAATAGTGAATTAACAGGAGCCGCATATATACATGAAATTTTTTTTTATTTTTTTGTTTTTTTCCATATTTTTCCTCCTTTCGCACGAGAAAGTTGATCTTAACATGCATTTCCTGATTAATAAATACTTTCAGAAAGTGACTCGGCAAACTGGTTGATAAGAGAGAGTATTAATTATTTAATATTTATAGTTGATTATCTTTATAATTAAGTCTTTTGATGTTATTGTATTGAAGTCAATTCGTGCAATCCCACTTTATAGTACACAAAAATATATTAGCTTAATTAGAGTATTGTTATTTTGATAATTGGTCATACTTTTCTGGATATTCTACAAGTTGAAGATTGAAGAAGAAGCTTTGAGCTTAAGGCAACAGAGTTTTCGATCAAAACATTTCATTTATGATTTGGGCATATCATAATTGATTTCTTATGATTTTATGAATTTATGAACTAGAAGGTCTAATTCTGCGGCAAAGCAATATTTTAAAGAGAGTTCTAGCATTTCACTTAGCCAAAAATGGTAGGAAATGTTCATCATGATGTCCAGCTGACAAAGCTTATACATAGTAGTAATCAAAAGAAAATTAATGATGAAATGATCATCAATAATTAGTGAAAAAATATAATTGTTTTTTATCCACTGAACACAGTAAAAAACTTACAACAATTACCCATCCAAATGTTTTTTTTTTTTTAATGACCGGGGTTGTCCGGGTCAGTTTATACGCACCTCAACTAAATCTCCGGAACCCTAAAACTATCGATTGGATACAAGACAACCCTTATTAATAACCGTGGGGACTTGAACTCGGGAGATCAAGTTAGATATTTCTCTTGCTCTTTTAGCCTCAAGGAGACTTGAACTTTGGAAACTATGTTAGATTCTTTTCTTGAGAGACCTTTTTAGATCCTCATCTTGTCTTTTTACCATCAAGGAGACTCGAACTTGACAGATTTAGATCTTCATTTTTTCTTTTATCATCAGACCACTTAACCAGTAGTTTCCCATCCAAATGTTGATTCCAAAGATCTCAACTTCCTATTTAAGCCCATTTCAAAATCCTGAAATCCATTTTCAACAGAAAGGTTTTTGAAATTTCAACTGAAATCCAAAGCACATGTGCAGAAAATTAAGACACCTAATTGTGTTCTTTTCCACATAATTCAATCGAATCATTGTATAAAAAATTAAATAAACCGATATTATATTCAGTAAAAGTACAGAAAACTTTCAAAATCAATGTTTTAAAAATAAAAAATGGTTTATCCTAAAGTTTTAAAAACTAACAATGACCCACCAGAGAGCGTGATCAGTAAGTAACTCATTAAAATAAGCGGTAGAGGGGTAAAATAGTCTTTTCTCATATATTTATCCTAATTTACTGTCTTTCTTCATGGGAGGTCAGATCATTGTAAGTTTTGAAAACATTGAGGAGGTCAGTAGGCTTACCAAACTTGGAGTACATCCCTGAATTTTTCCCAATGGTTATTCATGACAACTAGCAATACTGTACGTATTATTTATTTTAATTATAATACTAAACTCAAATAAATATTTTGGTCGGCTATGGTGGTGGTTTGGCCAGAGCGGGAGGACAAGAAGACGGGAGTAGGAGGGGTAGATAAAGATGAAGAAGAAGAAGAAGAAAGTAAGAGGATAATTTAGTAATAATATCTTCTTTATATAGGTAAGAATCCCACCTTAGTGTCATGTCAATTAGAAGATGAGAATCTATAATATATGTATCTAAATATTCTTTATATATGTTAGAATTTATTAATAAACCTTAATTTAAGGATAAAAATCTAGAATATATAAGTCAAACATCCTCTCAATGATCAGTATTAATTTAATAATGAGAATTTAAAATGTATAACACCAAGGTGGGAAATGGGAACTAACCATTTCCTAAAAATTGGTGAGATTAGATCATGTAAATGTCGGTTGCTCTTATTTTAATTATAATACTCAGTTGAGCAATTATGTTGCACTCTATTAGCCAATGGTAGTCGAAATTTTTGTCGGTTTAGTTGTGTCATGTCGACGGAAAAGGCCAAGTCCTGTCAGGAATTTTGGCCATTAAGGAGCGAAAGAGTAATGATACAATATACTATGAAAGACAAAGAAAATTTGTTTGTTTTCATTTGGCATATTTTTAGTCAACAACTTTGAATAGTTTTGTCCCACAAAGTTACTAATCCAATTGTACAATTCATTCACGAGTCCCTGCAGCCGTAAAGAGACAAGCTAATTGAGCTACCAGTTTCAACTTGCATCTCATCTTTATCATTAATTGGAGTGGTACTATATTCTTGATCGGTCATATTCACTATTGAATAATATGTTATCAACAGTAACATGAAGATACTTTATAATTAATATCTTATTTGATATAATATCTTATTTGATATGATATTGTCCGTTGAATTTAAGGTCAGTGTTCTAAAAATCGGATCAAACCGTCTGATCGAACTGATTCGACAGACAACGGACAGTATTTCTGATCCGATATATTATAAAAACCGATATTTACCATTAAACTAGATTGAGTTGCGGTTGGACCATCGAAATACTGTCGAGTCGCAGTCTAATCGCGGTCCAATCGCAGCTCCATCCCGTCAAATTTCAGCATCGTTCGACAGAGAAAACACCCCCATTTGACGTGACGACATCTCCATGACCAAACCTATCCATTTTCAGTGGCCGTCATCCAGCCTTCGTCACTCACCGTTAGAGGTGGGCAGGGACCGGTCCTTTGCCGGCCCAGGCCTGGGCCCATTTGGGACTGGTCCCAAATGGGACCAGTCACTCATGGGCCTGGGATCGGTCCCAGGCCCATGAGAAAAACCAGGACCTGGACCAGGCCCTAGGCCTGGTCGGGACTGGTCTCATGGGCCTTAGATAATTTTTTTCCCCCCTCAATTTTTTTTATATTTTGGGGGCAAAACAAAATTTTATTGGGGGTTTTTAATATTTTTTACGGGTAAAATTTATAAAATTTATAAATTTTTTAGACCTAGAAGATTTTTTTATTTTATAAATTTTATAAAATTTCATTTTAGCCCTCATAATTTATATTTATCTAAAATTAATAGGGAGTTTTAGTAATTTGGCAGGAGACTATATTAAAAAAATACAAAAAAATTTGGGCCCAGGCTGGGACCTTGGAGGAGGGCCTAGTGGAGGGCCCAGGCCCTCTTCCTTAGGCCTGGTCCCAAAAGGTCCAGTCCTCTCAAAGACCGGTCCTAGGACTGGGTTTTGGAGCTGGGCTTTTGGGCCCAATCCCAAATGCCCAGCTCTACTCGCTGTCCACCAGGTTTCTTTTGTTGATTCCGGCAAGTTCCGACGCCGATGGAACTCCCTAGCACCACCATTAAAGTCGCCGACACTTACATATCAAAAGCCCCAAGATTCCAGCTTCGATTGGCCGTCGATCGTCGCTGCCGCCACCACTTATTAGAATTTTCGCACAACAAGGGTGTTTTAGACAGATTTCAAATCTGAAGGGAGTATATAGGGGTGTTTTTGATGAATTTCAAACCTTCAGGGACTAAAATTTTTTTACAGAATACGGTCCAACCGACCGATCCAATCGGAAACCGGACCCTTGAACGGGTCATTGTCCGGTCCAGTTTTTAGAACATTGTTTAAGATGACTTAAGTTTTTTTTTTTTTTTAGTCAAGGCGTCCAGATTAGTTTGTGCATATCTCAATTAATTTTTATGGTATATTAAACACCTTACAAACCCAAAAAATAGATAAACGATCTCTATGTTTGAACGTAAAAATTCAAAGAAGGGAATAAACCTTCTTAACTGTCAGACCAACTCCTTAGGGTTAAGATTTGATGGACATGAAAAATCTCACATCATTAACTAATTAGGAGTTCTGAGGTTAGCAAATAAATAAATAAATCAGTCTGATCAAACAAAACTAAATCTATGTATGAGTTATACTAAGATGGTGTATCCTAAGTTAATAATCTCATTCTCGTGAATGTGCCCACCACTGGAAGAATTGCTTCACACAAAATATGCGTTTATAGATGAAAATCTTGTGTTTGGATCGACATCTTTTAACACAGAATGAAGCTATTCTAGCTGGTAACGAGATTTTCAGTGGGTAACTTTACCTGTAATGTCAAAGGTCCAATCTCACTTGAAGTAGTTTGTAGTTTGGGGGAATTAGGCTCGTACCTTCGGGTGTGGGGACATCTCGAAGTTTTCATCAAAAAAATAAATAATAGTTATGACTGATCCCATCAAGAATATTGGATAGCTGGTAATTAGGAAGCCTACACATTATTTGATGCCCCACCAACACAAGCTTGTTAATTTATCCATCGTCTTCTACCTCCAGCTAGCATCCAAATCCTTGATCAAAACGATGAAAAAATTATATAACATTTTTTCAGTTGGATGTTGGGTCATTTTCTTCTCCTTAAACCAAGGCAAAAGGCTGTGTTAGCAACTTAGCATGCGTGCTTTCGCTGTGTGTACACATCCATTGCACTTGTTGTATATACTTATTTTTTTTTTTTTGTTTTATGACAAGTTATCTAAACCAGTTTATATATATCTCAACTAATTTTTTGGGACCTTAAAACTATCAACCGGATAAGAGCTTTAGTGGTTATCCTTATTAATAACCGAAGAAAGACTCTCATAAACTCTTGAGTAATACATCCAAAAGTTTTTACCGAATCACTTGATCACCCAAAAATAATTTGTCGTATGTACTTTTAAGAGACATGAAATTTTCAGCTGCATGAGCTTCTAGCCGTCTACATCTAACTGATGACGCTAAGAAATATCTTTTTTTTGTCCTTTTCTTCTTGTATTGTAATTGTGTTGTGGATTAGTGAATAAGACTTGTATTGCTTCTTTTGAAGATATTTCCAGTTCCACTGTCTTCCCACTGGCTAGGTCACATGCACTTGGGACAGAATAATGTACTATTTTCGATTCAATAGATAAAAATTAAATATGTCAAAGTTTTGTATATATACCAAGTGAATTTTCTCCTCTAATTTTTTTCATCAATCAGGACTTTAAATTTGAAACGTTAAATTTTGATGAACATTAAAATTGTATATAATATATACTTTAATTCTCTCATTTTATCTCTCTCCTTTTCTCTTTTCATAAAGTTATCTACTTCAATTTAAATGATTCTGAATCATTACAAAACTTTGATGTTTCAAATTCGATGACATCTTGATAAGAAAAAGACTAGATATATATCAACATGCTATTCTCTTTAATTTACAAATATAATAATATTTCAAAGATAAACATTGAGATTTTCCCAAGATTAATTCATATTTATCAACTCCATAGCCCATAATTAAACATGCTTAATTAATAGCCATAATATAATAAAACATTTACAACATTACACACAATATATATAATAATAACACTAAACCAAGTCATAATCACAAACCTAGGACACAATTAATCTAAAATAATTAATTACACACACCTATCTTATCCATCCATTTCCTTTTCAAAGACGCCAAAGCCTTTGCCAACTTTTCAAGCTTTCCAAGGTTCGTCTTCGCCAAACTGTTCACAAAAATTCTTCTCTCCTCTTCACTGTTTACATCAGGAATATATATCCACAACATAGGACTTTCGAAACAACGCTATAAACTTCAAATTCACTATCATTACCTGCCTTCTCAAACTGACAAACAGAAGTGACTGTACAATAGTTCTGCAGCCTGTGATCACCCCCCGAAAACTTTGGAGCTCACAACATGCTTCTCATCGTCGAGCATCTCCAATCTTTCGGTGCTCGAGGAAGGTGGCAGCCGTGAGACGATTGAAACATCTAGAGCTAGCTAACTTATTATCACACACCAGTTATATCCATCAATTTCCTTTCAAAGACGCCATTGCCAATTTTTCAAGCTTTCCAAGGTTCGTCTTCACCAAAGTGTTGACAAAAGATCTAGTCTCCTCTTCACTATTTCCCAAAGGAATATCCACAACATAGGACTCCAAAACAATGCTATAAACTTCAAATTCACTCCCATTACCTTCCTTCTCAAACTCACAAACAGAAGTGACTGAACAATAATTCTGCAGCCTGTGATCACCCCCCAAAATTTTGAAGCTCAGAATATGCTTCTCATCGTCGAGCATCTCCAGTCTTTCGATGCTTGAGGAAGCTGGCAGCCCTGAGACGATTGCAACATCTCTTATGCTACCGATAACTTCTCCATCACCGGCTCTTATTTTGCAACTCTTGATGAAGCTCTTGTACCTTTTGGGGTTCGCGAAATCGCGAACGAAAGGCCAGATGTTGGTAAGAGGAGCTTCTATGCGTTGTTTGATGAAGGATGTGCATGTGTTTGGAGATGGAGAAAAAGTGTGGTAGGTTTTGATAGTTTTATCGAGCTTGGAGAGTTCTTGGGGATTGAGTGAATTAAAAACTTGGTTTGGCTTCATGGTGGCAATTTATTAATTTTTTTTTTTTTAGTTTGAAGGAAGTGGAAGAGGAGAATGAAAAGGAATGGATTTGTTCTCTCTATGTTTGTGCATGGATTTGTTCTCTCTTTATAAGGCAACTATCCATTGACTGCTTTTTTTTCCTTTTTTTTTTTTCATTCTTTTAGGGAAAAAAAAAAAAAAAAAAAGAGTGGTCGAAATTCAAGGGATGTGAGGACTTTGTCTTCTAGTTTGTAAAACTGTTTTCTCTCAAAGTGGATATTTTATTTTCAGACACTTTTTTTGACACACTGGCAAAATATCTGTATATTTCAATTTTTATTACCTAAAATCATTTTTGGCCACATAAAAAACGTTTACAAATACGTATATTAATCTAAAATATACTAATCAAATTCAAATACTAAACGTACATCATATTCACTCTTTTATTTATTTTTTGCTATATTAGTTTGTATAATAATCTTTGTAAAATTGATTATCTTAAAACACATTAATTTGTATATGAAGTATTATCCTTAAATCTTTTAATAATTTTGTCTATTTGTAATTCAAAATTAAGTTTTATTTATTGGTATATTGTGAGAAATAGTATAGACTCTCACCAAGCTTCATATATGAAATAGTAAATACGTGGATCCGTGGATGAATGACGTGAAGCACATTTTATTGTGATGAAAAAAAAATTAACATGTGTAATTTAGTAATGTATTATACGTTGGGACCATAATGTAATTGATTCGTCATGGGTCCGATGAAATTCATCAATACTATAGAGGACATCTACGATAGTTTTCCTACGACAAGGGGTGTTTGTGAAATTAACCTAAAATTATTTCAATTATCTTATTTCATACATAAAGTTCTTTACCTACAATTTTCTTTTTCAATTTCTTGCCATCAACTCTTAGCTACAATAGTTAAATGGAGCATCATATTTCTTCTTACTATTATTGAAAAAAATAATTGAACTGGATTCACTACATATACAAACAATTGTAAAAGCAAAATTCTGTGGATCACCAAGACGATGCCGTATTATCCTAAAAGCTAAAAGAAAGGTTCTTTAGTATTTTGACAAACAAAGGAGAGAATGGTAACAATGGTATACGATTTATAGGAGTTAATATTGTCACCCCTGAGGTTTAAATTTTTTCTTTTCTTCTCTAACTTTAAGAAACCAACACTGACACCCCCAAATAGAGGTTATGTCAGTTAAATGGATAAACATAAAAGGTAGAAAAGATATTTGAAAGAAATGGTTGGCAGTTTTTTCGAATGACTAACCATTTTTAGATTCTAGAATTATCACAAAACCAAATCGGTAGACCATTTGGCCAAAACTTCCATCATTCTTGATAGAATTTGAGGTGGACATAACTCCTCACCCAATAACGTCTTATTGAATAAGATGATTATCCCTTTTTATAAACCAGTAGACTTGAGCGTGCCTAGTTAGTGTGGGATTCCAACACTCCCCCTTACGGTCAAGCATATATGTTGGGTCATGCCTGTTGATAGAGGTAGTTGTTGGCTCTAACTCCTCACCCACTGGTCAAACACTTAGCTTAACTGAACCTGGACTCTGATACCATGATAGAATTTGAGGTGAGAATGACTACTCACCCAATAAGAAATTTTTAAATGAGAGGATTATCCTCTCTTATAAACCAATAGGCTTGAGCGTGTCTAGTCAGTGTGAGACTTCAACACTTCTACCAAAAACTTCCATCAGATTGGCCAAAAATGTTTATATCTTTTTTGTCCCTCGACTATTATATTTAACTAACAAAAACACCATTCAGGGGTAACAACATTAGTTTCCCAAAGTTGGGGGAGTGGAAAATATTTTTGTGCCAAACCTTAGGGGTGACATGCAATAAACCCATATTTTATATATTTTCTAAAAATCCAGACTTATTTTGTAAAGACTTTAATCTCTCAGTCTCTTAGGCATCATATTCTATTACATGCGTCTGTATTTCTGCTCCGAATAATTGATACATACACCAAGAACAGCCTTCACAAATTGTTCAACCATTCCAATACACTAAAACCAATTAATTACTGATTTTTTATTCATCTATAAAAATACTATGAACTTATTATTAGCAGACTCTAGCTAAGTGACAACTGACAACAATGTTAATTGCTCTAGCTCTCCTTTTATTTTCTAATTATATTATCATCACTGGTAGCTGTTCAGGTTTTGGTAGGAGTTTTTCCTGCAACTGGACCAGTACTCAGCTACAAGCTTTGAAAAGGATGAATTTGTCTCCATAAGCTTTGATGGTTCATCATACTCTAACAATTTCCCTGAAAATTTTAAACCAACATGCACAATCAGCTAGAGGGTGTTTGTTTATATGTTCACAATCGATTAATTCCATTTAAATTCAATCCAAGCCGATCCATTTAATCTGTTTTGTAAGTGAGAAATAGAAGCTTACCAAAAGAGAGGACCATGACCATGTCACTATCAATAACAGTTGGGACTCTGTGAGCTACTGTGATCACTGTGCAACCGGCGAACTCCTGCCTGATAATTCTCTGTAAAATGGCATCAGTTGCAGAATCTATTGAAGCAGTAGCTTCATCTAGAACTAGAATTCTGTTTCTCTTTAGGAGGACTCTTCCTAGGCAAAACAGTTGGCGTTGCCCCGCGCTCCAGTTTTCGCCTTCATCACTCACTGCATGCCAACCACAATAATATCACACATTTTTATTCTGAAAAACACACGAGAAATCAATACACAACTGCAATTGTTCTGAAATTAGCTTACCAGATGAGTCTAGTTTATTAGGCAGGCTGCTGATTGTTACCTTGAGCTGACACTTCTCCAGAGCCTACAAATCAAACACAAATCGCAATATGTAATTAATGGCTAATACAGAATACAAACTAGTTTGTGAAGATGATAGATACCCATCTAACAACTCAAGCAATTAGGCTAGGCAGTGGACCTTTTGTGGGCTTGGGTAGAACTCTCCTTGGAAAACCGGCTTGTCAAGGGTGGGTGCCCAAGCCCATTACAGTCCACATGCCCACCATTTTCCTTTCCAATGTGGGATCCTAACATTCCCCTATGCTTCGAGACTCAATGTCCATGTTGGCTCACTCTGGACGACTTCACTCTAGGTGGCCTACTCTCCTAGGTTGCCCCTTCCTAGGTAGCCCTTTTCTAGCCCACTCTAGATGACTTCACTTCGAGTGGCCTACTCTCAGAGATCGCCCCTTCCTAGGTAGCCCTTTTCCAGGTTGTCCTTTTCAGACATGGGCTCAGGCAGGTTTTGGCTTTGATACCATTTGATAGATACCCATCTAACAACTCAAACAATTCGGTTGGGTAGTGGACCTTTTGTGGGTTTAGGTAGAATTCTCTTTGGAAAACCGGCTTGCCAAGGAGGGTGTCCAAGCCTTTTATAATCCACATGCCCATCCTTTTCCCTTCCAATGTGGGATCCTAACAGAAGATTATGAAATCAATAATCTAAATCTAGAGTCAGCTGGTGCACCTTCCATATTTCATCGTCTGAGTAGAGGCCTAGAGGATCCAAGTTGGTTCTAACACTACCCCGAAAAAGAGTTGGCTCTTGAGGGATGATGCTGAGCTTCATTCTCAAATCTTTTAGACCCATTGAACAAATGTCAAGTCCATCTATCAGAATTGTACCACTTGCAGGCTCTACCAAACGAAACAAAGCGCTTATAAGTGTAGTTTTGCCGCTTCCAGTCCTGCCCACTACTCCTACTCTGGTTCCTTCACTGAATGTGCAGGTGATTCCCTTGAGTACCAATGGCGCATTCGGACGATACCTAATCTGTAATCAAACAGCAGAAACAACAGTTAAATTTTAAGTATAGTGAACAAAAGTGATCTCCAGTGAATCAGTGGCGAACATTAGGTAGCTTACCTGCAGTTCCTGCAGTTCTATTCTTCCCTTAAAAGGCCATGAAGATGGTGGCCTCTTGTCTTCCACAATAGCTGGAGGCTCTGGTGGTATGTGCATGAACTGTTTGATCCGTTCAACTGAAATAATATAGTTCGCCAAGTAGCAGTACCATCTCGACACGAAAACTTGAGTGCCCGTTAGAGAAAAAGCATACGAAAGAGAGAGTCCAACAAGCCCTGCAAAAGAATTTTGAAACATAAACGTCTTTCAACAATCTAGAAATTTATGAGTTGTGTTCAGGACAATTTTAGTGAAGTAATTTTACCTGGAGCTACATAGCCTTTAGGAATTAAAACAAGGAGAAAAGCAGCAGTGAAAAGGGTAAAATTTTGAATTGCTTCTATTCTTAGAACTAGCCACTCCATGACAGCATTGGAATGGAAGAAAAGTATGGCGTCTGTATCGACAAGCTTTAAGTAGTTTTGGAAGAACCTATCCACCATATTAAAGGCTCTTATTGTGATCACTCCAAGTGATGTCTCAGCTGTATAATTCATAACAGGAGCTTTTGTTGTTCCATTGATTCTGATAAGCTCCCTCGCAGTTGCTATGTAATAGTCCTTCAGAAAATAAAAAAACGAATTGAAATGAAGCAAAGTCAGCTTTTGCCTTCTTTCACTGAAAGAAAGAAAAATTGATGAAATCATGAAGTAGAATTTGAATCCACCTGGATATATTTCACTGCAACCATAGCAAGAATGGCCACAATGAGAACTTGCCATGTTACAAAGGTCATAATTCCAATAATTGCTATAAGTTCAACACCAGCAGCAGCAACAAAAATAATTGCGAAAGGTATGTCGAAATCAAGGACACTCAAATCTGATGATGCCTGCAAAATTAAAAATGTTGAGATCCATGATTGTTAATTTACAAGTAAATTACTCTTAAGAGTGTATATATTTGAGATGGTCTTACTCGGGTTAAAATCCGACCAACAGGAGTAGAATCAAAGAAGAGCATAGGAGCTTTAAAAATCGAATTAGTGAAACCGGAGAAGAATGCTTTAGAAGCTTTTAGCCCCAGAAGTGCTGCATAGAAGGACCTAAAATATACAAAGACAGCACTGGTTGTTGCAATTCCAGAGTAGACACCAATTAGAATGCCATT